ATGGCAAATAAAAAAGTTATGGCAAAAACAAGCAAAACCCGGCCAATCGCACGCCAATTTAAATGCATAAATTTTATTATCTATTTTTACGCAATTCCCGGCCCGGGAATAATAGCTGGGTCCCAGGGCTACCGTTCGGCGGCCTTAAAATAGATTGTTTTAAAGCAAAATCGGCATCTGTATTCGTCAACTTTGGTCATCAGAGCCGTGCAAACCGGGCCAACGTGTTGTGCGAAGGTGAAGAGAACATTTGTCTCCCCCTCGAAAACCTCTCATCACTCTCCGAAGCTGCCCCTCCTGTAGTTGGCAGCCCTGAGGGTCCTCTTGCTCTCACCCCCACGACACTCCTTCTGTCTCTGTTACAACTCCAACAAATCCACCTTTACCTCGCTAGAGTTTATGCCGGGCGGCGTCCTTTGGAGAACAGGTTTTTGCTAGTGCAGGCTAACAATATATTTTATATCCACAGTACTGTATAAACTACACACTACTTGACAATTTGTTGCTGGGGGGATCGACAGATGCCGCCGGCGGCCCTTTAAATTACGAAAATATCGTCTAAATAATGACTTTTCATAACTTATTATGATCACAGTCGGTGGAAACCCACCCGAAAACCATCATTTTTTTAGTAATTGTTCGAAGTCCGTATGTTAGTGGCGAAAATCTAGCCGAAAAAATCATTTCAAAGAATTCAAAGAAACATTTCAAAAAAACCAGCCTATTCTTTCCTTATTTTTAAATCTTTTACAGCGCTGTAAAGCTCGGGCTAAAAGTGGCCTTAATTTTGCGAAGATGTCGTTTTTTTGTCGCGTCGGTTTTAACCATTTTAAAATTGTCGCGCTCAGGGTTTCAGAGCCTGTAACAATTTTTAAGTAGCAGAATACGAGCAACAACCACGATTCTATTTTAGCAACACACCTGACGCGCAATTTGGCCTTCCCTCTTTAGTTTTTCGGTCCCTACGATCTGCCCAACCCTCTAAAACCTCCCAAAAATCCATTTCCAACGAAATATTATACAAGGATTATTTTAGTATACAAAGGCGATATTTGCGGGGGCTGGAATCTCGCGCTGGCTGCCTGGCGAACTTCCGCCCCGCGTAGGCTCAGATTTCAGGCTCCTTGGGAGCCACAACCAGCGGGTGGTGAGGCTGACACCCTCCACATACACACCCACAGCTCGATAGGATTTTCTCATTGGGCCGCTAGCCGTCGGGGTTGATAAATATCCACATTGAGTGTGCGGAAGAACGGGGGAATCTATTAACCTACCCAGGGACGTAGCGTAATACAGGCCCCGGGGCCCGGCCCCCCCGAAATCGGCCGGGGCCCGAAAATTTCATAAGGGGGGACCCTTATGATTTTTATTTACTCAAAAATTTTGCTGCCTGCGGCGCTATTTTTTCACGTTTTTACTGCTATTTGTAGAGCTATGTACCTTTTTTTCAAAAATTTTTGCCTGCGGCGCTGTTTTTTCGGCAATTTTTTGAGGTTTTTGGAAAAATTTTTTGGGGGCCCCCCCCCCGAAATTTTTTTCTGGCTACGCCCCTGAACCTACCCACCACACGCAATCCAACCCGACATCCTATCGATCTTTTTTTGGAAAAATTATCGGTTTTGTCCGGTAGGCCCAGAATAGTTTTGAAAACCTTTCAAGGTTTTTGTCTACCACAATTTTGCCCAACTTTTATCTCCTTAATTTCATTATTTTCGTATTACTTGTTCTCATCCACGGTATCCTCTTCAAAAAACCACTCGCTATTTGGCCGTAAGACCTTTCTATCTGATCGTATTCAAACTTTTACCAGCGCAGGGGACTTACAAAAGCTAGGGGCAGCCAAATTTTCAAAATAATAAAATGGAAAAGACAAAAGTCATTACCAAATTAAGGTTTATTTTCACGATTGCAATCCGATGTTGACGGATTTCCATTCGAAATTTTTCTATCTGGCGGTACTATTTGAATTAACGTACAATATTGTTTAAATCAGAGTTTAGTCATTTTTTTATCATCTAAACCTGCAGAAATTGATCCGAAAATGACCATTTGTGGCAAATTGCTCCAAATTGGCAGGTTTTGAAAAAACGTAGCCAGAACCGCCTGCCAACGTTTACAAGAAACCCTGTTTTTTTGCTATAGCATTTTTGTTTTACAATATTTTGCTTTGAAAATTTAGCTGCGTATCGTTTGGATGGCTGCCCAGAGCTAGAATTTGGACGCACCCGGTTAGAAGATGGCGAAATGCCGAGGAGTGTTTTTTTATTGGGACACTAGAATCGTCGCGTGGTGGTGTAGCTGTACTTCGATTATTAAAATCGTCACAAAATCGTTCCGTTTTTCTGTCGTTGTATCCAATATCTTGTGTAGGTCTGCCCGTTGCCATTTCCTCCCCATTCTCGCGATGGATAAACGCGGGGGCACTATAAAGCCGCCGTTATGAGCCCCATAACCAGCCCATACATCCAAATGGCTGAATATTCATTTTGGCATCGCAGGAGACCTCCGATATCCCCCACGGAGGGCCCACGCCAAATTATCGAGGTATTCAGGAGGCCCACGTCTATACGGGGGCTCTTGTCTTCTTGATTTCAGGAATTGGGGATTCAGGCTGATTCGTTGTTTCATTCTCGGAAGGGTGGAACGTTAAGCTTAGGTTTAAGTTACGCTTACGTTTAGGCTTAGGCTTAGACTTGGCTTAAGTTTAGGCTCAGGCTCAGGCTTATACTTAGGCTTTGCGCTTCGGCTTACTCTTGGGGCTAGATTATGTAGAGCAGAAATTCAGCCAAAGATTAATTTGAATTTTAGAAACCAATTCTATGTACCATTGTCGCAGCAATTGCCTCAAAGCAAGTCTCCTTGCTTTTTGGCTGCTTCCTGTTTACCTAAATATATGTTGTTTTCAATTAGAGGCCGAAACCCGGAAACCTTCCGGCCCTCCGACGGCTAAAACAATCCGAAAAAGGGCACTTCCCCCGAACCTTTTCCCGCCCCCCAAAAAATGGAAGAATGGGGCGTGCGACTCGCTTTTGGCCTTGGGTTAGGAGGTTATGTGCCCAAACCCCCCACCTAACTGTTGCCCCCCGCTCGGTGCACCTCCATCGCTTATTCATCAGGGCCCACCCAATTTGAGGGGGCTCATCTGAATAGACGGCATCCCCTTGGTCGCCGCCATCCACATTCCGTTTTATTTCGTTTACCAGCGCCCAAAACCCGCTTCGCGGGCCTTGGGCGCTGGAATGCGGCCTTTGCATGAGAAATTTGACTTTCCGATATCTTGGGTCCTTCCTCCGACCAAACCCGCGCGTGCAACTTGCAAGAATGAGGAAATTTGTATTTTTTGGCATTATGCAAAGTAGCCTTCCCTGGCGCCGGACACACACACACACACAAAGATACGCGACCAAATTATATAAGGTAGGATACACTTCTCCTATACTCCTTTTATTTCTGCCGCCCTGCCCATCCGAATCTATTGTTCTGTGCGCATCGGTGCTCTTTTCATTTAGCGCCACCATGCAATTTATTTTTGGGTGTGCGGAATTTTTGGGGGTCCTTCGGGGCGGGGGGCAGGTATTGATTTAACGTAGTTATTCTGTAGGTGTCGTGGTTTGGACCTATGCCCATTTTTTACGCATTTCATCTGCAATTGAACGTGTCACACATCCAGCCCTCACTTCTTATAATTACGCCATCGTACATAGACAACAATTTCGTTATTATTCCTCCACCACACCCTCTTTCCCCAATTATGAGGCATGTGGCTATGGCATCGGCTTGATTAGTGCTGGAAGATTGTGGGGGGAATTTCTGTTTATGCGATGGAAGGCCCCCGCTATTTTCGCTCTTTGAATCTCAAAATAAAAAATACTTCATGAAAGACCGCAGTACAAGGGGTGGAGGCTTCCTCCGCCACTTATGAGGGGAGACCTGCTTCATCCACCCAACTATGCCACTTACCCATCCGTCCACAGGCGTGCCTCGGAATTCGTGTGGATTCGGGTAGACGAGGGATGGGGGTAGAGGGCCCTCCCCGACCCACTAATTACCGCTGCGAGCTTGAGCCTCAGACCCAAACATTGCCTCCAATTTCGACACCCGCCCTCCCAAGGAGACGGATCTCCTAGCTCTCCGACGGAAGTTATGATACTTTTTTTGTAGCTGCATGGTAAGGCGTACACTCCTCATCAACGTTTTTACAACATCCTAACTATATAGATAGATATTTCGGTACTGGGCTGTTAGCAGGGGGCACTAATTTTTCCCAGTAATCCTGTTTTGCCATTAAAAACAGGAACGATCTTTATCAGATTTTACACAATTTTTGGACATAAGAAGCATCCTATCCTATAAGCGAGAAAAGTATGTTTGTTTTCTGTGCAGCCGATTTCTCGGCCGTCCGGCTGAATTTCAGGCTGATTTTTGGCATGGAGGTGTGTAATGCCATTTATGAGAAACGGTTTTTTGGATTTTCCGAAATTCCTTTGTCTACCCATTTTACAAGTAAAAATGTGAAAAATCGTTAACAATCTCTCGAAAAATCGGTATGTTCAGAGGATATCTCGCGATACCGATACGCTGGCCCTGGCGCCGCAGGCCATGGACTGGCTCTTTAATTCAGGCTCTTGCGCCGCAGGCTAAAAAAAAGAAGGTGTTCAAATTCATCGTTCCTGGACGGGGTCCAGTGGAAAAGGGCCGCGAAGCGGTCTTTTTCCACTGGTCAACGAATATATCAACATTTCCGAAAATTTGGGACTTTTTGGCTAAAAGTGCATGAAGAAGGACAAAAAAAAAGGTTTAATTTTGAATTTTTAAAAATGCTTAAGAGAAATAAAAAGAAGCCGATTTTCTCCTTGATTTCATCAATTAAATGAATTTTCCGCTTTTTTCTCTTTACGTTCCTTGTATCATTATCGTAAAACATTGGTAATTTTAGGAAAAAACAACTAAACGGATGGTAAGATAGTCGGCCTGACACTCCTCCTGCGAAACTCCAAAAGATGGAATCCCTCCCCGTCTCCAGGAAAAGCACGACCCGTGCCGGGCGCCGGCAGAACCAGCAAGTGCTCGAAAGTACGTTCTACAGCTGATGTTCCGTAACCCCCTTTAGTGCACCGTCTCGAAGACTTTCCGCTGTGCGCCTGGATTCTGACAATCATCACGTATATTGTGGTCGGGCTGACGTTGCCCTTCTCCGCGTGTCTTTTCATTAAGGTCCGTTCGTTTTTTACATAAAATTAAGGAAGGCTCAATCTTTTGTGGTGACCATCAAATATATAGTTTCTAAAATCTTATACAGCAAAGACTTCTGAATTTTGATTTTTCGAAACGCTATCATTCCGAGATTTTCCGGTTTACGGAGGGTAAACCAGACTTTTTTTTACGGTTAGGCGTAAGCAGTGAATGTAAGAATGTCGATTTACTACAAAACTATCGACAATCTTTACGAACGAAAAAGAAAAATCATAATCCGAAAATCCACGATGCCGAAACCACAAAGTCGAAACCTCATAATGTCGAAATTGTTTGCATAGGATTTGAAAGTTTAGAGTTAGACATTTGTTTTTGTAGACTGGAATATTGCAAACATCGAAATTAAGAAATTTCGACATTATCTATTTTCGGCATTTTGAAAGTAACCCACGATTTTCAGGTGGTACAAGAATACGAGCGCGCCGTTGTCTTTCGCCTTGGTCGTCTGATGCCCGGTGGGGCAAAAGGGCCAGGTAAAGAGCGTCTATTGCGCACTGTATCCCATCCACAATTTCCAGGCATATTCTTCATCATGCCCTGTATAGACTCGTATAAGAAAATTGATCTCAGGGTCGTGTCCTTTGATGTGCCGCCGCAAGAGGTTGGTCGCTCGAAAAGTTGCTAGTTTTGACGACCTTTTTAGATCTTGTCAAAAGACTCGGTGACGGTGGCTGTGGATGCTGTCGTCTATTTTCGAATATCAAATGCAACAATTAGCGTTACCAACGTAGAGGACGCGAGCAGGTGAGTTGTTCCCTCCATGAAAGAGCTGGAACACGTTTTCAGGTCGACAAAACTGTTGGCGCAGACGACGTTGAGGAATATTTTGGGCACGAGGACTCTGGCGGAAATGCTGTCCGATCGCGAGAACATTTCCCACCAGATGCAGGTAATCTTGAAAAACGTACATCGTTATCCGGCGTAGCGGCATAGCTTGCGCTTATCCCTAATTTAAGGCTGCATACCATGGATTTGTCTGTATAAAGTTACATTTTTTTGAATTTGAATAGCCTTTGATGTTTAGCTGACCCTCGACGAGGCTACCGATCCGTGGGGTGTCAAGGTGGAGCGGGTAGAGGTGAAGGACGTCCGACTGCCCGTGCAACTGCAAAGGGCTATGGCCGCTGAAGCCGAGGCGACACGAGAAGCCGGTGCCAAGGTGCGTATAGAATTCAAGTCTTCTGACCGTCCTAATCTACAAGGTGTCCAAAAGATTGGCACCTCACTAGCGGTCCGGAGGAAGCTCGGATTGCGACGATTTTTAAACCATTCGAAAGCCCTCGCAAAAGCGATAAAACAGGCGCGTTTGTAGCCTTCACTCGATAGTGAAACCTATCCCAAAAAAGCGTGAAATCCGCGTAGTCCTGTTAGCTTTATATCACCAATTAACATGCGGATCCAAAGTTTTCAAGGATGGTTTGTGTACTAAAATTTGTAAATCAAGATGCCTGAATTAAAAAAGAAAACAAAGAGCTCGTGGTTTCTCACCATATCGGGAGTTTTCGGTAGACATATAAATTGTCAAAATCGGATGCTGCTGCGAAAGTCGATTTTCCTGAAACCCTGTATTAAAAACCCCGAGAAAATCACCAGATGCTCAAAACTGGCCAACAAATTTCAGGTAATCGCCGCCGAAGGAGAACAAAAAGCTTCGCGCGCTCTCCGTGAAGCAGCATCTGTAATCGCCGAGAATCCGTGCGCCATTCAATTAAGATACCTACAGACGTTGAATAGTATCAGGTAAGGAAAACCCTGTTATGATCCATTTAAACCTATTTTTCAGTGCCGAGAAGAACTCGACCATCATCTTCCCATTTCCCATCGAGTTGCTCCAGAATTTCCTCGCCAAGGCGCCGAGCAGCAACAAATTACCAGGGAAAATGAGCTAGTCTTCGACTGACTGGCTCTATACCGGTAGTGGGGTCCATAGAAAAAACCGTGGTCCATAGAAAAAACCGTGGTCCATAAAAAAAACCGTGGTCCTTAAAAAAAACCGTGGTCCTTAAAAAAAACCGTGGTCCATAACAAAAACCGTGGTCCTTAGCCGAAAATGGCGGAAACCGTGGTCCATAATAAGTATCGTGGTCCAATGAAGGTATCGTGGTCCATAGATCCGGAAAAATTGGCGGTTATGGACCACGATACTTATCGTGGTCCATAGAATCGGGATTTCAGCCAGAATAAGGACCACGATACCGGACAGGCCGCAAATCGCCGGTTTTCGCGATTTTTACCGGTATTTTAGCAGTTTAAAGGCATCTGCATCTGTAGGAAAGTTTCGAGAGCCTATAATTGTGGTTGGGAAAGGCATTAAAGTCTAGAAAACCTGAATGTCTGAGAAAGCCTGAACTGGGAAGATACGGTACGAAATCCGGTACTGTTCTAATCCGGTACTGCGAAAATCTACGCCGGGGGCAAAACCGCAGGCGAGGGGTTTACGATATTTTCGCTAGTTTTCAGGGTGTCTTGATACCATAGCATCGAAAAAATATACTAAAAGTGTAATTATAGCCCAAAATAATGTTTATGGTTTTTTGTCACCTAAATGTTGATTTAGGCGACAATACCGATGAAATATGGGGGTCAGACTAGATAAAATTAAATTCTCTATGCCTAAGAGGTTTTCGTATAGCTGTTATGCTTCGGGTCTGAAGGCAGGAAGGAAGCATAAGCCTAATCATACTTGTCTCTTCTCATATTCTCAGCGGATCTACGCCGCGGGCGAATCTGGGATTTTTGCCATGAATTTTACTTTTACATAATTCCGGGCTAAAATTAACACTCTTAGTTTATTTGTTGACGCTCTATAAAATTGCGTTAAGCAAATCCTCTGAACATGACTAAATGTCGAAATCTAGCGTTCCGCTCGACGTTCCTAGATGGAAAAGACGTTCAAATCTTGTTTTTTTTTCTATACTCCTCCTATATTACATTATTTTCAGTTTCTATTTGTTGACGTGCTATCTAATCGCGTCTTCAAAACATCCAAAAAATAGAAAAATATCCAAAACTCAGTTTCAACCCCATTTTCATATGCATCTTTGAATTTGCTGTAACTTTTTTTCTATTACATTATCTTGGGCTATAATTACACTTTTAGTATATTTTTTCGATGCTATGGTATCAAGACACCCTGAAAACTAGCGAAAATATCGTAAACCCCTCGCCTGCGGTTTTGCCCCCGGCGTAGATTTTCGCAGTACCGGATTAGAACAGTACCGGATTTCGTACCGTATCTTCCCAGTTCAGGCTTTCCCAGACATTCAGGTTTTCTAGACTTTAATGCCTTTCCCAACCACAATTATAGGCTCTCGAAACTTTCCTACAGATGCAGATGCCTTTAAACTGCTAAAATACCGGTAAAAATCGCGAAAACCGGCGATTTGCGGCCTGTCCGGTATCGTGGTCCTTATTCTGGCTGAAATCCCGATTCTATGGACCACGATAAGTATCGTGGTCCATAACCGCCAATTTTTCCGGATCTATGGACCACGATACCTTCATTGGACCACGATACTTATTATGGACCACGGTTTCCGCCATTTTCGGCTAAGGACCACGGTTTTTGTTATGGACCACGGTTTTTTTTAAGGACCACGGTTTTTTTTAAGGACCACGGTTTTTTTTATGGACCACGGTTTTTTCTATGGACCACGGTTTTTTCTATGGACCCCACTACCGGTATAGAGCCGACTGACTACGTCTTAATAACTGTATAATATCGATCTTGTCCCCCGCCGTTCCCCCGTGATTGTTTGATATTTGGTGAATATATCTTTTATCAAGAGTTTGTTGGGGGTAAAAGATCGCACGTGACGCACACCATGATGGCCTTGAAAGGATGAGAGGTGCCCGGTTTGAGTGATCCGGATCCCATCTTGGAAAATCTAAAAAAAAATGGGATGAACCGAAAAATAGAACCTTTTTAGGAATAAAAAAGAAGCCTGGGGTAATATTTTTTAAATACTTAAAAACAGCAATAGTGAGAATTACAAGAATTTTGGTAAGCTTGAACCTAAACCAAAGCCTAAGCCAAAACCTAAGCCTAACGCTAGGCCTAATTTTAAGTCTAACGGAAGCCTAAGCCTGAGCCTAGCCGAAGCAAAAACCCTGGCTTTCCGGAACTTCTGCCTGCTCTTCCCTTCGTTTGGTGGTGAATAGTGGAGTTTTCCTTAGGGCAACATCTTTGCAATTAGTAACCCCCGCCCCCCTGCGGGCCCAAAAATAAGCCGACATCGCGCACTTGATTGGCCAAATCTAAGGCCAATTCTGCGCACTAGATAAAAATAAGCTGTCCCAAAACTATACAGCAATTATTCTGGAAAACGCTACAATCAAGCTATTTAAAATGTCAATCCATAATACCTCTAGAATTTTCTCGCCCTAGAGCTACCGCAACGTTCTCGGGTGTTGCCTTTAAAAGAGAGCCCTACCCGAAATGCCAGCATTTTCGGTAGGTACGTGATAAGACGATGCTGATGTTCTGCCCCCGCCCGAGTGGATGCCGATCAAAAATGAGAAAAAGGCAACGATATCAAAGAAGGCCCAAATAGCGCGATCCGTTCAGCCAATTTCCCGACGCCAACGATGGCCGGGATTGGCGAAGGGATGGGGCGGATTTTGTTGAAAAAGGATGGCCGGCGATCCGTGTCCCGCCAATATACTGATTACCTCGTCTCGTCTGTCCACGATTTTCGAAAGCTCGGAATCAATTTTCCTCCTTTCCCTTTAAGAACAACTGATTCTGATTCGATTTTCAATTTGCAGATGTTGCGGGCCATCTCGATAGTAGCAGCAGTTGCTGTTTGTAGTGTTAGGTAAGTCAGGCTTTTCAGGGTTAAAAGTTGTTAATTTTTGGCCAAAAAACACCGATAACTTTTTAACCAGCCGGTTTGCGAATATTTCGCAGCCAGATTCGGAATGAGCAAAAAATTCTGCGTAGGATATGCCATATCACTGGCAAAAATCCTGAAAGTTGCGCCTTATTACCCGTAATTTTAGTGCCGGAGGCGGTTACGGGTACAACTCGTACAGCAAACCCGTACTTCCACCTCTACCACCTCCACCGATGCCCGAACCAATCGCCGAACCCCCGCCACGCGTCTACAATAAGCCAACCTACAATCCAGTGCCGCTTCCGGCTCCCGAGCCCGTACCTGAGCCCGTTGCCGAACCTCCGCCACCTCCTCCTCCGACTTACAAGTTCGTGAACAGGGAGTTTTTGTAGGATTTGGTATCAGAATGCCGAACAAGGTAATGTTAACCTTTGTACGGTCGAAATTCCAGAATTTGGAAATCCCAAAGTCATGACCATGTCAAAAATGACGCTATCGAAATCGAGAATGCCAAAATTCACATAGGCAAATCTCCTGGAAACAAACCCAGAATCCTATGCAAAAAATTCGACATCTCAAAATTTCGACCTTATGATTTCGGCTATATGAAATTTGGACCTCATGATAGCAATTCGTGAACAGGGGCTTTTGTTGGATTTGGTATCTCGAGGAAGGTAATGTCAACATTTATTCATATATCCATAATTTTGAAATCCATAATGTCAAAAAATGTCCCATAACCGAATCTACCGAGGGATTGATTATTCCAAGTGTCGCGATTGTGCAATTTCGGCATTATGAATCGCGACATTTTGGAAGAAAACTCTGGAGGTGTATACTTTCAGTAAGCCTGTCTACTCTCCTCCTCCTCCACCGATGCCGGAGCCTCTGCCAGAGCCCGTAGCGGCCCCTCCACCACCGCCTGTTGTCCCTAGTTACAAGTATGCAGAAATACTCATATTAAGCACAAGACAAAGCTTGATTTATCTAACTTTACACCTATTAAAGCTATCAATTAGGAACCAATTTCAGCAAGCCAGCGTATTCGGCGCCCCCGGTAGTCCCCGAGCCTCTTCCTGAGCCGGTGGCCGCTCATCCACCTCCACCAATGAACAGCTACAACAAGCCCGGCTATAACAGCTACAGCGGAGGGCATGGTCATGGTATGGGAGGATTTGGAGGGCGCGGAGGACCGACGGTTATTGAAGAACGGGTCGTTAGGTTCGTTAACTTTTTATACTAGAACGAAACGAAAAAGGAGTGTTTTTAAGTGACATTGGGCTTTTGCAATGTGATACGGGTGTCGCGGTCAGGCCCGTAAGAGGGGGGGGGGCGAGCCCCCGAAATCGGCTGAAGGCCGAAAAGTACATAAGGGGGGACCCTTATGATTTAATTTTTCCAAAAATTTTTTTGCCTGCGGCGCTGTTTTTGTCTATTTTTAACACTAGTTTTAGTGTTATAAACCCTATGTTTTCAAAAATTTTGCCTGCGGCGCTGTAGTTTTAGTCATATTAGTGAAAAATTTTTGGGGTCGCCCCCCCCCCCGAAATCTGGGTTTGTTACGGCCCTGGTCGCGGTACAGGTCGAAATTTTAAAAAAGCCACGCAAAAACCGTTGAACGATACCGGCGCTCGAAAGGGTCGATGTTGCGCGAGAAAATCAAACTTTTTGAAAGTTCCTCGAAGAAGGTTACGTTCAGCAGTTTTCGAAAGACAGAAATTGTTCATAATCTTCAGATCTATCGAATTAGCGGTACTGGACTGTTGGCAGGGCAATTTCCGAGTTTTCAAAATCTTGTCAAAATGTGCAAACTTTCCAGCAATCAAAAACTATTGAAAACCGTATAAGGTACATTATTACATCAATTATTTTCAGCTTTGGTCCCTCATTTGGCGGTGGGGGCGGCATGGGCGGCGGAATGGGTATGGGCGGCATGAACGATATGGGCGGAATGGGCGGGGGTTTTGGCGGTCAGTTGATCAGCAAGCATTTCAACCTAAGAATTTCAGGCAACTACAACTCGCACGGAAAGTACGGTGGCGGGAATAGCTATGGCGGCGGTGGCAATAGCTACAGCCGAGGCGGAGGATACGGAAAATAACTTCAAACTATCGTCCCAAATTATGTGCCTATTCATATTACGAGTCGCGAGTAAATATAAAAAGTTTATCAAAACAGCCCGTGAGATCACAAACATTAAAAAGGGTACAAAACGACAGACAGTCGTATTATAGACGCATAATGTTCTAGATGGTGGCATTTGGAGGACCAGAGTAGTGATGGATAATTCACAAGTGGAGATGTACTAAAAGATGGACCAGAGACAGACTGGCAAGATGATAATTTTAGAGGCAGTGAGCAACCGCGAAGCTAGACAGAAAGACGGGGCGGATTATAAAAAAAACGGGACCCTGATATCAGCCATCGATGAAGGCTTTTGAATGGTCGATGAGGTAATTTTCCAAAATTCCCGTGGCGGCGCGAAGGCCAGAGAGGTAGGCGCCGTGCATTGTTTGTGGGAAGAAGCGATGTGTCGCCTAAAAACAGAAGGTTTTTTGGTCTTTGGCATTATCGGGGGGGGACTAACTAAATAAAAATTTTATAAAAAATATAAAAATACCGATAATTCGAACAAAAATCGTCGATTTTTCCCTACACTCCACTTTTAAAGATTGTTTTGAAAGATTTTAGATTTTTCTAGTTCAACCATAGCTATTTTTTACAAAAAAAAGCTACAAAAAGTATTCCTTTTAGTTTTTTAGCCATTTCCAGACCAATACAAAAAGCTCGCCCCCACCGATAATGCAAAAAAACAACAATTTTTCGACTAGCGTTTTGTACGTTGTAAGGAGGATTCTGCCTACCTCGCCGGCGAAAAATATTCGATCGTATGCGGGTGCAGCGAGACTATCATAGTCCTCCGGCTTCGAATTGACGCCCATATAAGAGTAGGACATCCCAATATCTTCGTCCTTCCCCCAGCGAGAAACCATATGGCTGATCGGCTTTGGAATTTGCTGAAAATAAGGTAACACTGTCAGGATTCCGAAACGAACCTTTCCCGGGAATATTTTCTTCAGCGTGTCGATGAACATTTTGATGACTTCTTCGTCTTTCTTCTTGTCGATTAGAGCCAAAGATTGGCCACACACATACGACATTAACACGAAGGATTTTGGCGGGCCGTCTTGCTGAAAAAACAACGTATTTAAGAGCTTAAAAACGGTCACTACGCACTATACAAGCCATTATCAAAGACGCACCCGATTTGTGAAATCGTATATCGTGTGGAATAGCCCGCGCTTTTCCACCGATCCAACATGCGCAAAGTAGTCGAAATTCTTAGACTTGCCCTTCGCGTCCCGCCAGAAACATCTCGGGAACGCAACAGCAACCTATAAAACAAAAATTAAAATTTGGTGACGTGTCGATATACCTTTTCTATACGTCCGGCGCCGACCCTTTCAATCGCATCTAATTTTCGCTTTGGCAGTGGAGGATCGAAAGTGATTGTGTTTTTCTTCAGGATGGCCAATGGGACGGTCACCAGCACCTAATAATGCGTAAATTTTGTGATATTGAAAGATACCTTATCGGCTTGCAACTCGGTGCCATCTTGCAGGATGACGGAGACGCCCCGGTTGTTGAGATTAATGTTGGAGACCTGAACATCTCAATTTTTGCCGAATACTGAGCAAAGGTTACCTTTTTGTTGAGCAGGATATCTGTTCCCTCCGACAGCGACTCGACGACTTTTTGGGCACCGTCGACGAGCAGGGAGTGCTTTCCATCAAATTGGCCGAGTGCCTCGTTTTGATCCCAAGAGGATGCCGAAACCTAAAGAATTTGGTTGACGTTTTACGCAAAAAAACACAGTCTAAATGAGGAAAAATACCCACATTTTCCAATGGCGCACCGCAAGCATATTCGCTGTTGGCAACGTGCCAATAGAAGATCCGCTTCTCCAGCGGACTCATCCGGATCAACGAGCTCTCATCCAAGTGGACGCGCTGCTTCTCCAGCAAGTCTAAATCGAAATTAGATCTGGAATTTCTAAAGTTTTTTGTTTGTTTGCTGTTATATTTCCTTGCTGATGTAATCATAGAATTTATTTCACCTAAGTAACCGTATCAAGGGTGGAAAAGTGAGGGGAAGGATGGGGGAGAACAAAGTTGGATATCCTAAGCGAAGGCGATTCCTTCGAACTTGTGCGTCTCCGGGAGCAGTTGATCTTGCAGCAGGATGTGACCGTTGACATCAAAGACTGACGCGTACGAGGCAACCGGGATGCCGTCCTTTTCGGCGCTCTATAAATTCCTGAAAGTACAGATGAATATCGCAAACCTTCAGCGCAATGATCACGTGATCTTTCGTTCCGGGTACAAATTGGAATGCTGAGAATCCGGTGCGCGGATCATTCGATTCCCCAATAGAGACGACGTCGAAGCGAGTGAAATCTTCCGAAACGACAATCATCTTGTTTGTCCCTCGGATCTCGTCGGCTTCTTCGCTATATGTCTAAAACCAGCAGATTTCAACGTTTGATCGAAAGCATTATGAAAAGCTACGAAAAGCACTGGACTGTTAGCGAGGGGGGAAGGGCTTTGAGCAGGGGGAAAAACTACGTTATTTCGCTTATAATTACTTGTTAAAAACATATAATGCATTCTTAGACCGTTTTTAGTAGTTTTTGATTGCTAAAAACTTCAAAACATATTTAAAAAATTTGACGTTTGCGCCATTTTTCATTGATTTCAGATCAAAACCCAAAAATTTTAGATTTTTTTTAATCACTTTATGAGTTTTTTATCTCTGAAAACCGTTTAAAATACCATAAAAATTATTTTATTTCTTGATAGGGCCGTACGGGATTATCTACAAAAATTTTATTTCCCTCTGCTAAACCCCCCGCTAACAGTCCAGTTCCCTAAAAATACGAAACCTCATTGGATGCCCTTCTCGGCAAGAAGAACCACTTGTTATGAACATCCGACCACTGAACGGCTTCGTGGATCATGTAGCCGGGGTATTCGATTCCGAGCGCGCGTCTCACCTAAAAAAGCTATTGGACTAAAAAAAAGATTAACACACCTTGACAAAAATGTCCTTCCAGTTAACGTGCTCTACGGCACCATGCCTATCGACAATCTTCACCCACATTGGGTTATCGTTCACATATTCACCAGCCGGTGTCGTCCACTCCTTGCCGAGGCCACCCACGTAGAGCTTCTGATCCTGTAATCACACTGTAAAATGGCGGTTCTTTTGCATTATCGGGAGGGGGGTCCAGAAATGTCTTGGAACGTAATCGTGTTTTTGGTAAATATTTAAATATATTCTACGTGGAAAAACACTAAAGGAAAACCTAGGCAAAATTTTACGTGAAAATTTCGTCGAAAATCGGCCATTTTTGATCGAAAAACGCTTTTTCATCAAAATTTGTAAGTTTTTAGGTTTTAGAGGTTATAAACACTGCACTACATCATAATTTCAGCGTGCCAGGTATCATTGCCTGCCGAAAGGGCTCTCGAACATACCTTTACGGTCATCCATTCGCCTTTCAGCGTTTTCGCAGTGCGGCCCGGGCCATCATTCAGCAGCAACCACGGCATCACCTAAAATCCAGATTCTAGAAAGGATTCTTCGAGCCTTACATCTTTTTTCGAGGTGCACAGCTCGTAGACGATCCCCGTTCGATCGTCGACCGTCAACAGCTTCCCATCGAAAATTGCCAGATCGGAGAGTTCCATGGCTCGCCCGCCGCTAGCCAGCTGCGAATAGACCTTGAACGCTTCGGATTCCCAGGCCACCGATGCTTTGTGATCTTTTTTGTGGTATCTAAAAAGGTATTTATATCGCAAAATGGAAATGCCTTACTTCAAAAACCCTCGCCGGGCATTGCTGTGCCATTTCTTGCCGTTGGGTTCCTTGCTTTCAGTATCCAGATCCGTGACGACGACTAAAATCAATCAAATGTTTGCAAAAAAATTAAACATATACTCACCCATCTCGTACTCCGTCCATCCATCAGCAAGCTCGCGGCTCCGCAAAAGCTGTGTATTATTGTAACCGGAATCGACGCCGCGCCCTTTCCAGCAACCACATGTCACCAAATAATAGGTGATGATTGAGGTGACTATCGCGGTAAGGGCAAGTTCGTAATTTGAGAATTTACGCCCCTGCGCCGATTCCTTATGTTTAGTTTCGGAAGTCATTACCTGAAAAGAAAGAATTAGATAGATTCAATTATGCGGTTTAGAAAAGTAGGAAAACACTCAAGTGACCCCGCAGCCCAGCAACGAATTGCCGGGCATTAGGTGCTGCCCCGAGTGATAAGAACACACAAATACACCGCCAAATATAAACCACAAATTAGCAGTGAGGATTGCGAAAATAGTCTGGGTAGCCGTGATGCAAGAAATCAGACATCAAAGATTACATCACCAGCATAAATTAAAGAATTGTAGTAATCACGTAAAAGTAAATTTAAAGAACGGTTATAACGAGAGCACCGATTTCAGGGACATATTTGCAGAGGAGAGCCTGTGGTTTGCGTGCACAACCCATGCCCAGCATCGGGTCAGGGGCCAAGGTCACAAAGCACAAGTCAGGGAAAAGGGGCGCAACGAGTCATGGAGGGGATGAAAACGAAATGGAAACGTGTGTCGTGGAAAGTGTCTTGTTTTCTGTATAAGCTTTTAGAGCCGTGATTATCCCACAAAAATACCTAGTAACGAGTGGTCCTTCTTTTTCAGGGTACGCCAGTGTACCACGCCATCCATCGCCGCGCCGTACATGATGCTGGCGAGCTCGTCCGTCTGGAATTTTAGTTAGTACCGGCGTGCCCAAAAAATCAGCCAGGCCGCAGACACGTCCTGTTTTTATGATTTAGGTATCTATCCAAGCTGTTGGAAAGCCCAGGAATTCTCCACTTGGACGCCAAGCAGGTGGATTAAATGGAGTTTTTAGTAATAAAAGTGTAACTTTTGCATCGAAAACGGCAAAATCCATCGAAAAATTCGCGAATTTGGTTGCAGAATCGAGCAAATATAGCTCCTCAGCTCGTGGAAAGCTTTCAATCTTTCACGACCAGTAAATGAACCAATTCTCACCTTATAATCGATGATATCTCCAGTGGTTGAATCAAACGTCGGACACGCGTCATTCAGCGCCCGGTAGCGAAAGCCTTTCTGAATAGGTCTGGTCTAGAAAAATGGGATTGATTACCTGCTTACAAATAAGCACTATTGGACTATTGACAACGCCAGTGACAATCTGCGCGCCTCGGCCGACAGTCGAACCAAGCCCATATTCATCCTGAAAAGCTATTTAAGGCACTCTAAGGATTGAGTTACATTCATCCTGCCGCCGATCCTATTCTTCGCCTCAAGCACGGTGACATTGACGCCGAACGATCGTAATTGTCGAGCCGCCGTTAAACCGCTCAAGCCGGCGCCGACGATTAGGACCGATAGACGACGCTGTAAATTTATCTTAAGTTTTTGTAAATAGCATTGATCGACGAAAACCTTCAACGAAAGTAAAAACCAACATTTAGCCTGGTTTCCGGTAGTTTTGGCAGCGAAAGTGCCCCAATATTGATGATCCCGTGAGCATTCAGGAAGTCATAGACGAGGCGCAGGAGGCGAATGTACCAGATTCGGGATAGTCCACGGCAAAGCAGATGCCGCTCGCATTCGGAGAAGGTCAAATATTTCTAAAAAGCTTTATCACTACGCATTTCCCGGCTTACAAATGGGTCCAACGTCCACAACGAGACGATCAGGTTCCGGACGGCCAAATAGTACACGGATTCTTTGTTGAATGCCGGGAACTGAAAAAACACCTCGTAAAACGCGCAAAATACGATAATTAGAGACAGCGGACCGGAATGGTAGCGGACCTTCAATTTCTCATCGTATTCCATATCACCAGCGCCAAATACTAAAGCAGCCGGGTCCTTATCGTCTTCATGAAATGGCCGCGCCCAATCAGAAATCTTTTCTAAATATATTGTAAACGATTAATTAAAAAAAACTACCCATATTTGCACTAAAATGGCTTTGCGCCGGACTCATTCCGATCAAATCATAGTAGTACGATTTGGAACTGATGAATGGCAGCGCTGGAGAGTTAATGAGCAGCGGCAGCGTGTTGGATCCTTTCATCCAATTGAACTCCCAAGCCTTTGCGGCCAACTGAAAATCGGGTTTCCAAATCCTGAATTCCTCTCACCGGGTCGATCACGTCTTGACAAGAGTTTCGATTCGACAAAGTTCCACACGTAAAATGTCCGATTGCAGTCGGCTCAAGTGGCTCCTTGCTGGGCACCTAAAAATTTGCTAAAAATACGCATCTCACACTCACGTTTCGGAATTTGTGACACTGGGTACATCGCAGCCAAAACGGCAACAATTTGTCTTGGACAAAAAACTTCGCGCCTGGGTTTTTGCGACAATGCTGCGAGAACTCTTCTTTCCATCCAAGGAATTCTTTCTCGAGGCTCCTAGATGAGGTAATTTATGGAAAAGGTTGGAAACGTACCCCTGCGTGATCTCAAATAGACAGGTCTTGCAAAAATGTTCGTCTTGATTCAAATCCCAAAAACGCCCGCTGTCCGTATCACTTCGGGTACATCTCGACGATAAATTTAACGCACATGTCAATTCTTGTTCGGCCTGAAACGTAAATTTGCAAGGTCGGCTAATTGCAAATCTACCTTTCGTTTTCTTGACTTTGTCGCTTTTGGGTGCTGTTGAAAAGATGGGCCCGGATCGGTAAGATGACCATAGCCGCTGGGTTCATTCACATCCGACTCATAGCAGTCTGGAGGCTCTTGCTAAATTAAACATATTAATATTGACGGAAAATCCTTAAGAATACCTTCACGGCTACGCCATCGGGGATTGTTGCATGTGGTTCGCTCTTGGTGCTGCTTTTCATCGACAGGGTCGATTTCTTGCTTTGCGGCGAAGCGCTGGCCAGATCTAGAACAGCAATGTTATTTTGTGATACATTTATGACATGGATATTCTGGCAAGGCGTTTTGAATCGAATAATTTTTGTTTTTGCCTCAAACTACAAAATACCGTTTTCCGGTGACATCCGTGCAGCCGGGCTTCGCTCGGGAAGTAGATTGGCTGGCAAACCATTCGAGCCATGGGAGCCATTAGAACTGCTCGCATTGCTGGACGATGGATAAGAAGGACTGTTGCAGCGCCCATTGATGATTAGCTGCTTTGCCGGATTGTAGGGGACGAAGGCATCTCTTAAAAGAAAGTTTTTTAATTTAGATCCTGTATAGTTTATAGTCTGTATAAATCCTCGAATCTCAGAAAACTCAACATTTCAAGAAGATTTCGCGGTTTTGACGGTAGCCACAACAAAACTGTTCTTTTTTTCTCACCTGCTATCCTCGTCCTTGTCGTCTGGAGTCAGCTCCATCCGCACGAGGGCCGCCAGCTCATCCAGTCTGAAAGTTTGGCAACTGATAAGCGGTTCCCGCAAAAGAATACATGCCGTTTGAAAGCGTTCTACCCCCAGTTTTTGCCCACCGACCTTTTTTATATAAATTGAGAATCTGTATCAATCCCTAGTAGGAGGTCTGTGCTAATTTCGGTCCGATGAAGCGTTCTCGGGCGTAATACTCATTAGCCGCGATCAGACTGAACTTTCATGTAGGCTGCTCTGCCCCGTCCCGGGAATGCTACCCTAGCGGGTCGACTACGGTATGGTATCCACGCCCGTTGCCCCCGGTAACTTGCAGGATTAAAACATTCGGGCTGTGTTAAAACTGTAGGTGTGTGGTAGACACGATGGTTCTTTTTCATTATCGAGGGGCCAGGAGTTTCTTGGGGGCGGGACTTGTTTATATAAGTTAATAAATGTCTAGCGATCTAATAGTGAGTGCTTTGATAGTATTTTTATTAAAATTTAACTAGGTTTTAAGTGGAAAAACAATTCAAAAAGATTAGAAAAATGGCATATCTTGACGTTTAGAAATAGTAAAAAAATGTTAGAAACACTTCCGCATTCGTAGTAGAAAAACGGACCTTAGAAAAAGGAGTTGGTCCCCCCCCCTCCCCTGATAATACAAAGGACCGACACGAGCAAATTTTGCATGGAATTTAGGTGATATTGGTATAGACGTTAACGAACTGTCCTTTAAAAGGAACTCACTTTGCAGCCCTCCGCATTGGCGGTCGCTTGATGGGTGGTTCGCGCATCTTAGAAAGCTGTAATTAATTTTGATAAATAAAAATCAATACTTTTGAAACAGCAATGAATAACAGTGTGAAAAAAGATTGTGCGGGAAAATATTTGGAAATGTCAAAGGTTATTGGCAACATGTGGGTTTGCGGAAGTGAGCCCTGTCATGATAAAGGGCTAACGCATTAAGTGAAATTTCGACCGAGCATTTGCAAAGAATCAAATTTCAACCGGAAAAGCTAACTGTTCAGGCCTAGGCATTATGTGGCAAGGAAGCGTGACAGATTGCGCTATCAATATGCGTGCGGGAACGGACCGCCGATTCATCGATGCCCATCCGATTCGCTCGATTGCGGGGCGGAGGGGGGCGCTTCGGGAGCGTTTTAGCGGCACGCGTTGTACGTTACGATCCCGTGCCGCTCGATTCTAGCAATCGCTCATTGCAGTGAGTTCAATGTGCGGGGGTTTAGACGTGGTTAGCTACCAGCATAAGCGGAATATGACAACGTGTTTCTTGTTTGGCTAGATAATAAGGACAGTCGAAGCGCATGCAAAGGTCGTTTACACTAAAAACGGTTGGTTTTGATGTGCCTTTGAAGCTTTGCGAGATTGATATCGATGCTTATTAGATAGAGGCTCAATTTTTGAACAAATCCCATCCCTCAAAATAGATACTGAACAACCACGGTCTTAGAAAAACTTGATCTGAAATGGTTGTTTTTCCATTCTTGGCCTCTGCTTTACAAAATGTAAAATTCGAGAGTGTATTTCTCGAAGGCTGTTGCCGTTCAGCCGTTTTTCAGAGATGGGATCTCTCCAGTATTTGATGCTCTATCGAACAAGCTATGTCACAATGTGAAACTCTAGCACCTAAAAACGACTCCCGGCAAGTAAAAAACACAGCTGATTTATTGCCAAAATCGAAGAGCAAAGTAAAATCGAGAAAAGCGGTGCCGGGAAAGGTAAGCGACAATAAAGTGTCAATTCTCGAGTGGCGAGCGATTGTTGTCAGCTCTTGGTTGGCGAGCATGTGACCTTGTTGAGAGGGAACATTGGCAATGCTGGCAGACAACGCATGAATACAAATCAATGGTCCAGATGAGGGGGTGATCTGCTCCATAGCCGGAGGACAATTAGTCCGCGACGGAGCAGAGATTGAACACTGGCACTAATGACACATAAAAGCGTCAAGCGACTAATAAGTATCAGCTGGGCTAAGAATTCAGAGCCGTAAAAAGGGGGAAGAGCATGATCATGATCCAGTCAGACGGAGACAAGGAAAAGGGTGGAGCCTTCGAAGCGAATATAACAAGGAGACGTTTTTTCATCGGGGCTTCGAGTTGGGACCAAGACTATATTGTGCAGAATTTTGCGCTGAGTCTGACTATGTTAACCAAATTTGCGAAACCGCATTTTCCAAAAGTTATGGACGTGCTAAGACCTAGAAACGCCCAAAACGAGTGACTTTCGGTGAAGTTGAATCGCTCATAACCTCGGAAAATCACGATTCCGTTCAGCGCAAAATTCTGACAATCTAGACTTGGTCCCGGCCCGAAACCACGACGTTACTAAAAAATGTCTCCTTCGATCTATCGATCTGCAGCCCTCTGACGAATAATTGAAATATCCGTAAGTATAAAAGTACGTTAAAGAACGTCTTAAAATCCGGGAATGGTGCCGTGCATGGGGACAAACGGAAGTGGTGGGCGAGCGGACGATGAGGCGATCGATGCGTGGATGCAGGAGGCCCTTTTTGCCCCGTGGGGTCAGCCGGGCAGCTGTCCCGGCTTTGGGTGGGGCACCCGGCTGCCATGAGACACACCTCATAGGATACATGCGAGACTGCACCATAATTGGAAGGGCCCTCGGGGGTATCCACAGTCAGTCGGATTAGTTTCGCCCCAGGTGGGTGGCCCCGGTGGTCTGCGCGGAACGGACACCGCCGCGACGAGCTAATTAGCAGCACTCCTGAATGTGCATGAAAAAGCTCGTGGTTCGGCGCATTGTAAGAAACCAAGTGCTTTTAAAAAATGGAAACAAGGATTCCGAAACCTGCCCTGCGAAACGGCCCTGCGAAAAAAGAACATTACAGTCCGAGTGACGGGGGATCTCGCTCCGGCTGATGTTTGTTTGGAGTGTTATAGGCTATACTGTTTACTTGCCACAAAAAGGTAGTTTGATGGTTAATAAGTAAAAAGCTAACCTAAATACAAAGCGGTACCCGTTCTGAAGGCTACATTTAGTTTTCTTTTTCTTCGTACCTTCGTCTGCTATGGTTACGGTGGCTTGGGGTGTATGAATTTCAACTTTTACGACCTTGATTTATTATAAACTCTATACGAAGGGTGAGACTTTGCATACAAAATCGGGATAGACACGGGCCGAGTCGAGCTTGTCGATGCCGGCCATCCATTTGCCACCACCACAACCGAAATCGCAAGTGTCCGGCATAGCACGTAGCTAAAATTTGGGGGTTGAAAAATGAAGACTTTTCCCTAGGAAGAACTTCCAAAACTGACCAAAACAGTTGATGAGGCCATATTAGCGTTATGGTCGCAGAAGCCGGTGTAGTCGACCTGGGTACCGTCCATCCAATATGCCAATGAGGCGCCTGATAAACGAATGGTCTAACAAGGATACCTCCCCAGCTCGAAGTTCAACTTCGGTTAGCTAGATAGCGTATCAGATGCCGTTTTTCGCGCTGATCACGATCCCGATATTTATTTTTGCCCAAATCCATAGGAACACCATGAACAATCATTTTAAACATTGTGTATTTTTTGCCTAGCTGGGCGTGATCCGCCCTACGGGCTTCAAAGCCTCTTTCCAGAGGGAGGCATCCATCGGTGGCATGGTGTAGTCGGCAAGTACATGGTCTACCAATCTAGGGGTCACTAGTTCGAGCCTTGCCGCTGACGGCTTTTTTGCTTTTTGGATAAAACTTGCGGTGATGGCCATATGGACGCCCAGTAAAAAATTTTCTAGTTCTTTTTGGCCCATTTGTCGCCAATTGAAGTATTTTTGGCAACAACACAGCATTAATCTCATAATGATTATCAGTAATTGTACCATTAGAAATTCTCCTTCCTACCCCGGAGCGATAAAGCCACATAAAAATCGAGCGTAACCAAAGTCTAATAATTCCTTGTCGGAAACTCAAAACATTTTTGAGCAAGCACTACAATTAATGATGATGATTGACACCTCGATAATTCGAAATTTCTTCCACCAGAAAGAGTAAAACTAAACGTAAAATCCCAAGCGAACCGACCAACCGATGCAAAACCGATAAAATTTTTTTACTGGGCGGTGATATGGCCTTCACAGCAAGTTTTATCCAAAAAGCAAAAAAGCCGTCAGCGGCAAGTCTCGAACTAGTAACCCCTAGATTGGTAGACCAAGTACTTGCCGACTACACCATGCCACCGATGGATGCCTCCCTCTGGAAAGAGGCTTTGAAGCCCGTAGGGCGGATCACGCCCAGCTAGGCAAAAAAATACACAATGTTTGAAATGATTTTTCATGGTGTTCCTATGGATTTGGGCAAAAATAAATATCGGGATCGTGATCAGCGCGAAAAACGGCATCTGATACGCTATCTAGCTAACCGAAGTTGAACTTCGAGCTGGGGAGGTATCCTTGTAAGTTAGAATCCTGTTATTTTCTGGAATATTGTAGATTCGAAATTCCCAATTTATCTCTAGCTCATTCGAAAAGCCTAATTTCTTTTTCCTAATTACTTTCAGCGAAATATCTTCTCTCGAGTTTTTACGGGAGTCTAAATTATGCCATTTTGAGGATTTTCACTCTAAAATACCCTTTAACGTCTTGAAAACGCTAAGAAGAAAATTTGCAAAGCAGATCCGGTATCAGTGCAAAATTATCAAGTGTAAATAGGCTCGGTCCTGCTCAAAACCGCCACTCAAAAACGTCTCCTTGTGAGAAGGACCCTACCAGAATAGACTCCTCCCGTCAACGTCGTCCCAGAAACCACTGGGAATTCCCCAGAACAATCCTCACTATAGACCAATGCTAAAGACGATTGATAGGTGGTAAGCGTGATGGAACAACCTCGGATAAACTCGTTCTCAGCTGCACTGTGAATTGAGGTTAGAGATCCCTTATGGCGAATGCAGAATGCCTGCGCGTCGGAAAAAGTAAGGTCTTTACCGTGCTAAAAAGGATTTTGTTTTGCAACGATCGGCACAAGTCAGATGTAAGTATGGTAAGACCTACATAATAACACATGGACGTATCATTGTTATAGACCCAGCCGTCAAGACATTGATCTAAATAACAATTGTCCTGGCAGAGATTTATGAAAATTACTCGGTGCTGTCAGTTCACACATATACGGGATCTGTTCGCCGCAATTGACTCCATACCATAATTTATCATTATTGTCCAGAGCCACACAATTTAGCCCAGCCGCTGGTTCGGCGCTTCCAACTAGAATCAATGTTTTGACGATAATCATAATGCTATGGTATGCTGGAAAATACGTACCCCAATTGCGATATGTATTTGCTGAGCCATCAGACCAGTACCAATTCGTGTCATTGCGCTCCGGGAATCTTCGCAGACCGATCATCGCACGATTTTGAGCGAAATCTACGTCCGCAAGTGACCGCATTTAGAGGATGCGCTACCTTTCATAACGTATGCAGCGATCTGGTTATTTTTGAAGATACTGTCGATGGAGACGAGATGACCTCCGTATGTCTGACACGAACGCTCATCGATATCGTAGCCGTGGCCTGAATATTTGCTTTGTTTATTCGAAACGATTTTTGCCGGTTCTTTTGTATTTTTGTTATCATCCAATTTTAAAATATGATAACGGTTGGCTCCTATTCATAAGCGTAAAAACCTGACATTATCATTATTGAAAAAAAAGCCCTCGGTTTTCGGACAAAATCGCCAATTTAAGACCAAAACGCCGGTCTTTTCAAAAATGCTTTTCGTTTTTAATTTTTTTCTAGCTCAAATATAGATAAAATTTATTGAGAAAACTATAAAAAACTGCCGATTAAGTCGTCGGATATTTCTAGACTTATACAAAAACGTCCGTCCCCACGTAGCTAACAAATGACCAGGGTTGAAAAGCCGCTTCGCGACTTTTCAACCCTGGCCCCGTCTCTGACCCCATAATTCTGCCCTTTGCATAATTGTCCTTCATTCAGAAGACAAAAAAAAAAATGAAAAACAACCCCTTCTGCCTCTTTATATAGACGACCGCCCAGTTCCGGTCTATGCAAATTATTCCTAACAAAGAGGTTTTTACAAAAACCTAAATTTAATAGCGAAAATGGCTAATTTTTAAAAATCTGATATGTGTGCAGTCATCCCTGGACCATTACGCACCTAATGACGTATCATACGTAGCCTAATACCCGTCCCTTCTTGAGATATCCTCCGGACAGACAGACGGAAGTGGATGCAAAGTGGCACACACACACACAGACACTATTTTTTTTATACATAGTAGGATAGCGCGTAGTCGGACCCGACTTACCAACAATTTCTGGAGATCCATAGCACATCGCGAATTCGGGAGCATTGTCAAAGCCATCGGGACAACCACCCAATACCAACAGTGGCAACGTGGCGAAGAGGAAGAACTTCATTTCCCAGGTGGACCTCTCGTTTCCAGGCTTGATCATTGGCCACAAAGCAACCCTTTATATGGTGCCCCCGAAAAAACCGGGAGCGGCTACGATAAGCGCCTAACGGTCATTTAAACGTGATAAGTGCCACCGAGTCGTGCACCTTTACGACTTTTTATCGCCCGAAATTAATGTAACGGCCTGGAGGCAGGGGAAGAGTCGCTTCCACGGCTAAAAAAAGAGCTGGGGGTCGTCTGACGTATCGTTATTTGTCGCCAAGTGGCTGTTTTATTAACAAAATTTATTCGATTTCAGATATCTCCGCATCGGTCCGGGTCATAGCCGTAATTTGTGCACGTCCAATAGGGTGTCCTCACTCCCTGAAACGGGTGTTTTTCTGATTATTTTTTAATGCGTGTACCTTGCAGAACGGAGCATTAATGGTAGCTCCTTTGGCTAACGCCGTCCGGCATTCGCAACTTTTCGTGGCGTACTTTGTGGCCTCGGCCGAGCAGTAGGGCCCCGAATCGTGTATCGTATTTCCTGACTAATTCAGTTTGGCCCATAAAATTGAGGATGAACGATACCTCATCGTATAAACGAAATCTCATGAGTTCGCGATCAGCCACCGGCGAATTAGAATTGCTTTTGCAGCCGAGAAAGCCCGTATTTGGTGCGCAACTGGAAATAATTTGCATATGCGTATGGCTAGGTTAGGCTTCGGATTAGGCTTAGGCTTATGTGTAGGCTTAAGCGTAGTTACATTGCAGCGAGATAAAGCTGGTGCAGCCGAAGCCTAAGGCTATGCTATTAAGGGGAAGCCCGTTCCAAATAAAAATTTCAAAAATTTACACGTCTTCAATTCCATCCGGCACCCTTCCAAAGGGAGGCCCCGTCACAATCGGGCTACAGATGCAATCTGAAACGGCGAGTGAGGTGATAAGGATTTCGTACCCGGCAAGGGATGTTGTGTGGTCATTGCTGTACTCGCTGTACTGTTCAACAAAAGTCTTTCGGTGATGAAAAGTTCGGTCGTCTTCATAAAGTTTTCTGTTGTGGAGGGCATAAATTCTTGAGGTTCGATCGTAACCATAGTCGTGACCATAGGTGTAGGTTGTACTATTTTTTCTGTTAATCTTGTAGTTTTGGGACGGGGGATACGAATCTAAATCGGCTGTATTAAAAAACATCCGAAGAAATACCGTAGTACTTTCCTGGATTATTTTATGCATGTTCGTGACTTTAGAGATCGCTAAATAGGTGAAAGATTTTTTTGAAAAGTTGAAAGTCTGGCACTGGACTGTTAGCGGGGGGGGGCTAATTTTTCTCGGTAAATTTGTACGGCCTTCTAACAAAATTATAGCATTTGATAGCAGTTTGAATAGATAGAAATGGCATAGAAATACACTATTTATTATTAACAGGTAGATTTAGTGGAAAAATGGGTCCCCCTGCTAAACCCACGCCCCCCTGCTAACAATCCAGTACCGAAATTTTTACCTACGGCCTCACGCGGAATGGTTTTTAAACAGGCAGCGGCGAATAACGGAAAGAATAGGATTCGAAGTTCAAGGTACATCTCCAGGAAGTAACGGTCACAACCGCATAGCTAATGCCTGGCGGTCGCTTCCAGACACCCCTTCAATTAGCGCCCTCCCGCTGGCCTAACAGTTTTCAGTTTCTCGCACGATTTTCAAGGTGGCCGAGGGATTTCCCGATTTCCCCCGCAGTCTGTCGTGTTGTGCTTTGGACGGAACCGTACGTTTATTCATTCCCTAAGTGGGAGAAAGAGGAGAAGTCAACGGATGGGCAAATGAAAGTGCTACGGGTGGATGGGCATGGAATAGAATGTCAAGAAGATTCCATTCATAAGGGTCAGAAAAAGGATTGATGATGAGGTTTAGATAGTTAAAACAATTTAGTTACAAACTTCAGTGATACATGGATGATATGTGCATCTGTTGTTCAAAAAAATTACCGGTGAACGGCTTGATAGGCGAGATAGTCCTAAACTATTGTATTAAAGAAATTGTAGAGTACGCCAAAAGCTTACAAGGAAATGAATGATTACCTGATAACTCATGGTCAGCTTGCTCGATTGGAATCGGACAACTTTTAGGGCCCGTCGGATATCCTCGCTGATCCGGCCCCGATAGCCGCCTTTTTTGATGAGATTGTCGACGGTTTCAACATGGCCCCAGCCTATAGAATTAAATAGATTTTAAAATAACTATAATAGATATGAATGCTAGATTTCGTACCGCATTCTGGCGCGACTTCAGGCAGAAACACAGCCGAGTAGTCGTGTCCATCGATGTGGTAGTGGATTCTGATCCCATGGACACCTACCTGTAAATGTTGAATTTGACTACTTTACAAAGTTAAATATATTTAATAATAGATAATATCCAAGACAAAGTTTTAATAATTATTGGTTAGAAACTAGAGTCTTATGCGTTGACATACCTCCCAATCCAAATAATCTCTAGCATCCTCAAACTCGACCAACAACGACACCTAAATCACGATTTTTTATCCGCTCTATCCCTTGTTACCCCACAATGCAGCTGCTCCAATTCCGAGAAGTGTATCGGATCGAAGCGAGAATCATTAAACGCGCTGGTCAGCGCATATTCCCGGATACCTTTCGGCAGGCTCAAGTTAGAAAAGGTGCCTGAAATGATTTTTCTTATTTTTTTTTGCGAGAATTTTCTCACCTATGCATCCCCGCAACCGTTTGTCACTGCCCTTCTTCCAGGTGACAAAAAGCGGACTAAAAAAAAGTAAAGAAACGCGTCGGAACTTACTATTTCGCAGCCGGCGAAATTGACACGGGGCACTGGGCCGTTTGATTTGTCAATTTCCCGATGAGAACGTCGAAACAAAAGGCAACCATGTCCCTCGTCGCGCATATTTGACCCTAAAAATGAAGGTAAAACAATTTTCGGAAGCAGCTCTTGTTCGTGGTTTTTCTCTAAAATCCCGTAAAGATGAACAAACCCCGGACTGTGGCTCTGGCGGGTTCGGAGCCATACTATTCCTAGAAGAGAATCGAAAGAATTCAGCCCACGGAATCCTGGAATTTTACGAAGGACAGTCCGGGGGATCGATGTTAGACCCCGGGGCACGAGGTGGTGGGGTAATTTATGCCCAGGCATACACCGGGAACAGCCGCAAAGAGGAGCGTCGCGTACTCACCGCCTCACTTTGCGCAAAAACTCAGTGTTTTTAGAGAAAGCTGTTGCTTCTAAGTCGCCGCATAAAATTGCAAGTATCCAGGGTAAAGAGAGCAAGACGGAGAGCCAGAGCGAGCGCGAGTGCGAGAGCGAGTGCGAGAGAGAGAGAGGCATACAAATTTAGGAAAAAGCGCAACTTCGGTCTGGTAGGTTGTGAAAGAGCCAAAAAATCTAAAAATTCTCGATTCGAAAATTCCGGAAAGATCTATTTTTGAAAAAAAGCATCAAAAATATAGTTTGTGAATTTTAAGTGAATAAAGCTGAAAAAAATGTTTTCCCTGACGTCTGGTCTGGCCTAGTCACTACGATAATTCAGTCCATGGGGAGTCATGGGTACAGAATGGCTCAGACGTTGCATCATACTTTTAAGAACAAGATACACGTAAAATTAAATTAAATGTAAATTTAACTTCATTTCCATACCAACGTGAACTGGCTAGGAACTGAAACTACATGGCAAATGCTACCAGTTTTTACAGTTCCAAAAAGTTATCTATAACGCAAAACAGAAATCCAGGTAAATTTCGCAATTATATGAAACAAATAGAGTTTGTAACTCTCCGATGACCTCCGATCAGGATACGCCAAGAACAAAGCCTCTTCCAGAAATGCCAAATAAAAATACGGCTTCGAATCCCCGAACCAAACAACTGCCCACCAGGGATTTGGGTGACACAATGTTCGCCCAAAATAAAGATAAGCGCAATGGAATAGGAAACCAACCCCCGATCAGCACCGTACTCCCTTCACTACACCCTCAAAATTCCCAAAGGTATTCCATTTTTTGGGTGCATGCCTAATGCGCTATTTTCACGAAGAATGATTGCTAGTGCTCCTCATTCATTTCCAATCCTTTGTTCTACAGCGTTCCGTCTGGATGGGTCAGCTCTATTCACGGGTGAATGCTACATTTTCCCACTATGGTGATGCTTCATATGTTAATAAATCTTATTGGACGCCCTCGATGGAGTCGTCGGTATAAAACGAGCCTCATGTTTGATGTATGTAATTGATGTTAGATTTGCGGTGTGCCGTGCACGATATTCTTGGCGATAATTTGCATAATTTTTACCAAGAATCGAGGCTTACGGCAAAAATATCAGGTAAGTCGCTTTTTAATTTGGGATTGTGGGAAGAACACCGTTGATCGCTAGCTAATGAGGTTGTACATGTAGGTGCACAAGTATCGTCCGACAAATGCTCCCGTGTTGGAATAGCTTTACTATCAGACAGTTCACTTCATAACGTTGGAATTTCATAATGTTGATTTGAAATTAAGTGCAATTGGGAAGCTGCCATTTTTCCATGAAACAACTTCCGAAATACTACACAAAAAACCCCCCATAAATCCCGGAGCTATTTAATTTCGAGGGTCTGAAAATCGCAACATGCCACATGGCCCGTTTAGCATACGATTCCGAAACTTTTCCAGAACACGATCTCCTTCATGACGTACGGGTGCTTTATTCTGGGATCCCCAATCGCGTGGTACAATTTTATGATCTACACGGGAATGAACGTCACCGGCGGCAATTTTCGTTTCACCGCCTTTTCGTGCACTTTCTGGAAAATCCTCGGGCTCACCACCTGGTATTGCTCATTTTTGGTCCCAGCGGTGAGTGCCATCTTGGGTTTTTTTACGGAGAAGCCGACAAACAGATGAATTTGCAGAGCTAGACTCTAGGCAGATCCCTAGATTTTGATCGCCGCAAATTACCTTGCAGAGCAAAGTATAACAAGGACAAGATATGCGCACCAAAAACGCGATTAAATGTATACTAAAGGCCCAATTTCCAGGTTGTTGCCCTAAATCGATGGATAACCATCGTCCGCACCACACAAACCACTTGGCAATTTTCCTGCAAAATCTTAGCGCTTATCTATATGCCATTGGTGATCCGAGATCAAAAAGAGAGATAACGCTTTATTTAGTTCCTCGTCGATCTGGCAAACTTCTTCATCGGCACCCCGATCTATAATAATACCTGCAATGTGTTGCTCTATTCGACCGTATCCCCAGTGCCACAGGTGGGTCAAAATGTTTGAAATCGACGCTTATTCTGCTATTAGCTTTATAACGCCTACGTGCTCACAATTTGTACTGGCGGCGTCATTTGTAATTTTCTCACCTATCACCACATCCAGGAACTGCATAAAAGCAGTATGGGTTTTGAGCGCGTTTAGCAGCCAATTTTGCTATTTTTTTAGAAGTGATGAGAACCGAGGATCGCCAGCTTCTTTATTCGATTACGGTGCAAGCTTTTGCGCCATTTTTTGCTGCCCTATTTTTCTGTTCAAATAACCTGGGATCGATTACGGGATGTAAGGCAAATTGCTGTATAGGCGTGTATTAGTGAAATTGCAGGGTATTCGTTTCCTGACTGGGTTAGTCGACCGATGAATAAGTACGCGTTGATTGCGTCGACGTTGGTGGTGCCGTTAATTTCGATCTTAGTGGTAGAGTATAAAAAATGGGGGTCTAATACATTGTTATACTTTGCATTTCAGGTGGCGCGGGTACGAAAAGCTATTATCGGCAGCCTAGTGTCAAGCTGTGGTCTACGAAAATTAGCGCCAGCCGTCACGATGACCTCCGAAGCATCCTCCAACGACGACAACCGGCCGAAGCTCTTTACTAAAAGCCCGTTCACGCCGGTACAGTAAACTCTACGAAAGTATACTCATTACACCAACATCAAAGTGCAAAAACACAACAAATTTATGATTTTTTGCACTTCCCCGGTAGTTTTTGGTGGGGTTTTTGGACTCCCTCGAGACGTCAAAGATGCGGTACTGATTTGCTCCCGAAGAACTTTTTGTGATACTTTGGCGAGGAGTGTCGTTGTTATAGGGTTCATGGAAATTCTCGGTTTGATATATTGATTTTTGGGTCACCGTATACGAAGGAATGGGCCAAGTTTTGACTAGGGTGCAAGAGACATTTTCGCATTATGGGGACGCCTCGTATATTCAAACGACCTACTGGACTCCATCGATGGAATCGACCGTATTGAGGTCGTATTAAAAAAAGATATTTTTTTGCAGATTTGCGGGGTACCATGCTCCATCTTTCTTTCTATAATTTGTATCTTGATCTTCAGGGACCAAAAGCTGATGAAAAAGTATCAGGTATCAACTGAAGCTTGTTAGCTAGATATCTGTTACATAGGACACGGTCACGTTCATGTCGTTTGGTTGTCTATTCCTGGGTTCCCCAATTGCCTGGTATAACTGTATGGTCTACATGGGGATGAATATCACCGGCGGAAACTTCAAATTCACCACTTTTTCCTGTACGCTCGGCAAAATGGTGGGGTTGACGACGTGGTATTGCTCCTTTTTGGTGCCCGCGGTCCGTTTGTTACCGAAACACCGTGACCCTAAATTAGGTGGTGGCGTTAAATCGATGGCTGCTGCTTGTACAGGTCAAGCGGACCACATGGAAATGGTCTTGTTGCGTGCTGGCTGGTGTTTACTGCCCAATGGTAAGTCATACGGCATAAACGGTTTCCCAAAAAATCCCTCTCCCCTAGCCGGCCACAGATCTGCCCGATTCTTGCGGTTTAGGTATTTATTATTACTCGAAAAGGCGAGTCCAGCACGTCTCATCGATTCATAAAATTTTCAAATTTTTCTATCGGTTACTAATGCTTTTGCAAAGCGGGAGGATTTTCTGATGTTTTTCTGATCAAGGGGTGTTTTACGAAAATCGCAATATAAGCATCGTGACTTGTGATCGAAAACTCCAATTTTTTTTTTGGTTTTGGATCAAAGTTTGCAAAGCTGTGATGTTTAAAAATTGTAATTAATAGATTGTTTTGGTGCAATGTTTAGTTGATAATCGATCTGATGCATTTCTTCATTGGGACCCCGACCAAGAATGATACCTGCGCCATTTTGCTATACGCAACAATTTCTCCGATTCCACAGGTTGCCCGCCCCTCCCGAAAGTAATTATTTTCTACAGCCTTACAATGCCTATGTGCTATTGGTATGTTCGAGTGGGGTTGGCTCCAATATTGCCACCTATACTCATATTCAACAGCTGTACCGGAGCAGTTGGCCGGCCGCGAGGCAATCGAAACCTGTTTAGAGAGTTTTAAAAATGAGGACAGGCAGCTTTTTCGATCTTTATTTGTGCAGTCGATCGTCCCATTTCTGGCGGCTCTGTTTTTCTGCTTGAATAATTTGGGTGCGATGACTGGTTGTAAGATGCTAACGTCGAAATCCAGCGCTTATCTTTCAGGGTACACCTTATCATCAGCATTCACCCGGCCCGCCAATAAATATTCGCTGGTAGCGTCGACGTTAATTGTGCCCTTGGTGTCAATAGTATTCGTAAGTAGCGCATAATTCAATCTTCCGGTAGATTACCTGAAAAATTTACTTGAAAAGAGACGAATTCAATTTCCAGGTGCATCGAATGCGACTGGCCATCGGATACGGATTCCTTGGATTAATCGGCGCCAAGACAACTTCCCCTCAAATTTCGGAGATTAAGCTTTCTGAAAGACCGGATAAGTCTTCGAAAAATCCACGCGGCCACCGGATCCCTGAGATTACGGTATAACCGGTCCTTAAGTATTCGCCGTGTTCCGATAGCAACTTAAACGTAAATACTTTATTTCGTGCCAGCCCAGATTTTTTATATAAATAGCGGATACCTTTATGCATTGTTTTTAGATGATCTCGTGCTTGAAAACTTTATAATTTTTAAATATATAAAAAAATAGTGTCTGTGTGTGTGTCCGTGCCACTTTGCATGCAACTTCCGTCATTCTGTCCGGAGGATATGTCGGAAAGGGAAGGTTTTTAAGGTATGCTTGATACGTCATTAGATGCGTAATGGCCTGGAGATGACTGCACATATAAAAGATTTTACAAAATCAGCTATTTACAACGTTCAATTTAAGTTTTTCTAAAATTTTCAGGGACCCTCTTTGTTAGGAATCAATTAACATACACCGGAAGTGGTAATCGCCCATATAATGGGAGAGAGGACGTGGTTTTCATTTTTTGTGTCATTTGAATTCGTGAAAATTATGTAAAGTGAAGAATTTTATGGGATCAGACGGGGCCAGGGTTGAAAAGTCGCGAAGCGGCTTTTCAACCCTGGTTTTTAATAAAAGATTTAATTTTAGTAGAAAATTTGTTTTTTTCGGCGAAATTTCGACTTTCTCAAATGTTTGCCCACTTTTTTTTGAAAGTTTTTCTACTTATATTTGAGTTATAACTATAGAAGAATAGAGGACAATATATAAAATTTCTTTTATTCCTTTGATGGGTGAAACTGGGTCCATAGGAAAAAAGTTACCCCCCCCCGCGAATACCCCAAGAACCGCATAACCGAAATACAAAAAACAACAGCTAAACTTACTTTTCTTTATTTGAATAGTAAGTGTAATGCAATAAACCGTTTTTCGATTTGTTTCGAGACAAACGATTCTACAGAGTTGTAACCAGGACATATAGCTGCCCCCAAGTTTCCCGAAAGATAGTCAAGTATTCAACATACGACGAAATCCCGCCCTCGCTAACGATCCAGCACTTCTGTTTATTACTGATTCTAAGGCGGTTTTTCTGCTATGAAGCCTATTTTTCCAAAATTTTTCGCCTACGCCGCGGGCTTTTCACAAGTGCATCAATTATATTTAAAAAAATTGCACCTGTCATGCATTTTTTTGCGGCCTTTTCAAACGAATTTGAGCGTAATGAACTCGGTTTGCTAATTTTTTGCCTGCTGCGCTGTTAAATTTTTGGGTGCCCCCCACGAAATATCGACTCCTGTACGGGACTGCTTACCGCCCTGTAGGCGAATTTTGAGCCGAGCCACGAAAGTTAGTTTTTTGAAAGAGAAGAACGCGGGGTGCGGGGTCCGGGGGAATCCTGACCGATTCTGGGATACCTTTGAATCCTTGCCTCAAAACCCAAATCCGCAGGTTGTAGCGATGATTCGTAGATATTAATTTATGATATAGTCTCAAGATATGCTAAAGTCCCTTCATCCGAGGCGTCGGTCTTGCCAGTATTGTTCTCAACGGATTGTACCCACCAAAAAACGCCGCGAGGCGCACACGCTCTAATAAGCATCTCTTCGGGTGGGTTCCCTAAACCGAATGCCAGTTCCAACAATTCCACCCCGACAAGCTTACCATCATTTTTTTGAGAAGCACACTGCTGCATCAAAATTTTGCCAAAAATTTAGCTAATCCCTGGGTGTGTTCTCAAATTGCTGGCCAGCGCAGTTTTTGGATTTTAGATTAGAAATGGAATATTTTGGAGGCGACTCATACATTCAGCCAACCTATTGGAAGCACGCTGCGACGTCCATGGTAATGAAGAAGTGTTAATAAGGCTTATGCCGGATTAGCTCGTCGCATACTGGGTTATGGGCAGGAAGAAAACATCCTCATGTAGCTTCACACGCCCAAAAGGGCTACCCATCATCACTTCTAAACCCATACTTCTAAGCTGCTTAGGATCGATTTGCGAATAATTATGACCAGATTTGCCGAAAACTGATAGTCCGATGTACCAACTTTTAAAAATAACGAACTTTAGAAGTGATGATTTTAGACGTAATTGACTTTAGAAGTAATTATTCTTAGGAGTAAAATGGTTTTTAGGAGTAATGATCGTCCCCCTACAAAAGGCGATATTTTCTAAATCTTCTTATAATTTTTGTCCAGTTTTGAGAGACGAGCCTTGCTCAAGATGACTTTAAAACATGCAATCACCCAGAAAGCTATTGCTATTTTTTTGGCGAAACCCAAACGAGTGTTTTTAGTACGTCGGTATGCCCGGCGTTATCATCGGAGGGATATTGTGCATGATATTCCTGTTCGAGCCCGGTTTGAGAAAAGAATATCAGGTATTAACGGTTATCTGTCACTACTAGTTAGGCATTCTGCCCTCTTTAGAATAGCGTGACATTCACCGTATTTTGCTGTTTCTGCTTGGGCTCCCCGATAGCCCTCTATAATGCGATGGTCTTCATCGGGATGGCGATCACCGGGGGAAATTTTCATTTTTCGGTGTTATCCTGCTCACTGTTGAAAATGTTCGGGTTGTCGACGTGGTATTGCTCATTTTTGGTGCCGAATGTGAGTTTTAAATAGCTAACAAGGAGCCCTTTTTAGTGTCGTCGGGGTCGAAGTTAGGGCGAAGGCCATATTGTGCAGAATTTTGCGCTGTTTCCGCTTAAGTTTATTAAATTTGCGGAATCGCGATTTTCCGCAAGCTTTGAACGAGTGCCGCCTCCGGTTCCCTAGCTTAAATACAACAACTTCCGCAAAATCCATTTTCGCAAATTTGGTAATCCATATTCGGAAACAGCGCAAAATTCTGAACATGAAACTTGGTCCCAACTTGAAACCCCTACCGGAGCAAAACAAAACGACTCCTTTTTGGCGTTTTAACTTGTTCTAATAACTTTCAAATTCTTACAGGTAGTCGCCTTCAATCGGTATCTCGAAATAATCCGTGGCTACCGGGTCTCTTGGCGCAAATCCGTGTTTTTCTTGTCTATCGCTTTTTGCCCTTTGGTAATTGACAATCTCTCACAAAAATCAGCGTTTCGTTGCAGCTATCCCTGGATATTCTGAATTTTCTGATCGGCGTTCCCACGGCAAACGATACGTGTTCCGTGTTGATATTGGCCGATATGCTGTGGTCGGTAAGTTCAATAAAAGTGGTACCCTTGAGAATGAATAATTGCGTGCAGTTCTACAATGGGTATGTGTGGGCGATATGCTTTGTTGGGGTGGCGCTTCATGTTATCGTATATCTAAACACGAGACGGAGAAACTGGCGAAGCGGTATTTCCATGTGATGATGTCATTTAATGGATTTATAAAAAGGAGAACGCCGGCTACTCATCACTTTGAGCATACAAACTTCAATTCCACTCCTGGCGACCACCTTTTTCAGCATCGCGCATTTTGGGGCATTGACACATTGTGAGTTTCTCGGCATTTCAAGTTAAGTCACGGGCTTAGGCTTAAGCATAAGCAATTACTTTCTATACCTTGTGACCAAACGATCAGCTTGAATGCGCCCGGAACCAAATTTCCAGGGTTCGAGACGCCGACATACTTCAGCGTCCCAGCCAATTTATTGGCGCTCCTCTCCTCGACACTCCTAGTCCCACTGGTCGCTGTTTTTTTCGTAAGTCTCACATGCTTTTTGTGAAATTGCTGATTTGAAAAGCCGAGCAGTTTCACAAGCAAAAAAGTGTGGCTTGTGGGATGGGGGAATTTTTTCGATTTATGGGAATTTCTGGCTTGTAGGCAGCCGGGACCCTGGGTGGCCTTCTTACGGTTTTGTGAAGTAATCGAGGGGCGAAAAGGTATACGAAAAAAGGTGTAAGTGGGTACATAAGGTATCCAAAGTATACACACTAAAATTCAGTCAAAAATTTAAAGGTAACGAAGGCTCGAAACGCCGTCCTTCGACACACCGTCCGCCTGCTGTGCATAAATACGCACAAGGGAAGTGGCGGCATGTGGACGACGACGGTGAATCTGAAGTTGATGGCTAGGAAGAGGAGCATGTCACTTGGTCGGATGAATCACGCAATTCGGGAGGAACATGTGGAGGCGGCGATCCCTCTGGATCGGATACCTGACGCGCAGGTTGTTTCCGCCTGGCCAAAAACGCCGGCGGAGGCTCAGCAACCGCCTGATGTTGCGCCATAAAATTTTTCGTGCAAGTTTAGCGAGTGATTTTACTTTCCCGTGATTTTCCTGATTGCCGAATTTTCTTGCGCAAAATTTCAAAAATAATGCAATATTCCCGGGTGGTCATTTTTTAAATTTAATTAATAAGGCTATGACAACGTATCCCCCTTCAGTCCTCAGGTCAATTTTGCAACTCTCCTGTTGAAATAAATATCTTTATTATTGCGCCACATTATTAAAGGAATACACCCGTGGAAAATTGGGCGGAATTGTCGCGACAACGGTAGAGAGGAGCAAATTTCGGGTCAAGATTTGGAAAAAGTGAGGCCGGGTCCGTTAATTAAACAACTCCTTGGCATAAAACGGTAAGATCAACTCCTTTGACGTCTTCTTCACATCTGACCCCTGCAACCCGACGAACTTCGCTTTTCTAAAATCAATGTTTAGAGAAACAATGCAGAAGATCGCTTACGATAAGCTGAGGGATCCCTCGTCCGGGGGCAGAATTTGCGTTTTGGCCCCTCGCATCTTGTAGCGCACTAAAAACTGTCTAACCTCCTCATGCTGTCAACCCACTTCTCGGTATATTCAAATTTGCATGGATTATCGCGCCCGGGTCCAGCAACAAGTCGTGGCCATGCAGAACCGGGTTCGTCAAATTTACGCTCACCTAAAAACAGGTTATTTCCATGTCGTCGAAAATAATATTGTCGAAAATGCCGACAGATTAATTTGCCGAAGTATCATTTGCTCGAAACCTTATTTGATCGAAATTAATCTTGCCGAAATTGCGATTTGTCTGAATCTCAATGCCAAATTCGCGTGAAATTTCGACAAAACTAATTTCGATCAACTGATAGCAAATCCCTGAAAACATATACAGACTTATAAAATATTTTGTTCAACCCAATAAAACGATGCTGAATACAAATTTCCGGTGAGACGGAATTTCACAGCTAGGCGGCCCAAAAAAGCTGTTATTCCCGTCTGGCGGGGTGAAAACCATGAGAAAATTCTCAGCGCCGCGGGCATGTAACTAGTTAGAGGCGCGGTAGATAAGGGCGAAGTTCAAGCGGTTCAACAAATGATGCGGGAAAAGAAGGAAATGCCGACGACAATGCATTAAAGGGATGATTAAGACAGCGGTCTGGGTTTTGTTGGCGATGGGTACGCGCTGATTTTCGTCCAAACAAAAAACTCCAAAATTGAGCCAGACCAAAATAATCGAACCAACCTCCTTGCCATTGATGAGTTCCCGCCGTTCCTCTACCACTTTGGACCCATTCCGGTGCATGTAGATCGTCGGGATATCGGCGTCGAGTTGATTTGATTTCTCATAGTTTTCCCGATTCGACGGATCGATTTGGCCGTCGTTGATCATTGTCAGGTAGTCCTTGCTCAATGGGATGGCAACGGGAAGGCTCTATACAACATTTAATCAGTCTTGTTTTCGAAATACCTTTTCACCACGGGCTCTCTTTTCAACACTTCCATCGAAAAATCCAGATTCGTCGGATTCATGTGATTCTGATTCGGGGCGATATTCGTAGTAGCTTGGGCCTGCAAATCGATAGGTGGGATGTGATATTATTAGGCTACCATATATCCCAGCAACCGTCCCATCCACTCGTGAATCTCGATAGATGCTCGTCCCGCTGACGATATACCTTTAAATCGCCAGAATTATTTTATTGAAACCGGCTCACCGATCCCGGCCACTCGGATCCCTCGTCACTGTGAACTCGGCCTCCTTTTCATAAATCGGGGCCGTCAATCCCAAGTTGTTATCTTCACGATCAAAGGCCTAAAATCATCAGTTCTGGGATGGAAATTACTAGACAAAAACCTTGTCCAATAAAGCAGTGCCCTCGAATTCGTAGGGGTTTCGTCGTATCCCTTCGTATGGACTGGCCGGCGGCGGTTGTAATCTGGAAATTGACGTACGTTGCGGGGTGAGGGCGCGGATTCGGGGGTAGCGGGCGTAGCCCGCTAACCCCTTTTGGTTTGAGGTACCCCCCCATACGACTCTTTTGGGGTCCTTATCTGGATTTAAAAAAGAACCATGCATCGGATCGCGAAACTAAATACACCATCGGAACCGGCGACACTTTTTACATACTATAAGTTTTTAAAAATTTGAAAAAAGTTAAATTTCGAATTTTAACAGCCGATTTAAATTGCGTTTCGAGGGGGGGGGGTCTGCGTTTGTTTGTATGTATGTATGCCCGCAAAACCTTTGTAGTCGTCAAAAAGTGCCTTCCCAAAGTCCGTTTGGGCTGAAATTTTCCACATATATTGACTTGATGTAAATGAAGGTGAGGAAGAAGCGTTTTTTTCAAAACAGGCTTTTAAAAAATTTATATTTAATTTTTTAGTTTAAAAGCTAAATTGCGGCCAAAACAAGTGTTAGTGATGTCCGTTTAGGCTGAAATTTTGCTCAAATATGCATTAGACCATGCTGGAGTAAGTAAAGAAGAAATTGCATCGAATGAATGCTTCCCCTTTGAGTTTTTATAACTTTAAACCTTCGCCATACGGGGCGCCACCCTCCCCTTTCGCGGCCACAGTTCCGGGTCAGCAGGGCGGGTCTAGGTCCCCGAGGACAGGCCTCCAGTCTCCCCGTTGGCCTAGTGGTTAGCACGCTGTATTGGGAAGACTTGGCTCCCGAGTTCGAACCCCGCCCGCAACATCATTTTTGCCGATTGGCCCGAATGCATCGTTAAGGTTTTTAGTACCGTTACAAAGCGCCGCAGGCAAATTTTTTTTACGTTGTGCGTACAAGGGTTCATCTGAATACGTATTCCTTGCCTTATTCTATGATCTTAACAACAAAATTGAGGCAAAAAGGGCTAAATTCGCTCTAAGGCTAAAAAGAGTCTTTTTAAAAAAGGGCTTTTGGTTTTCGCAAAAAGAGATCAATTCTCGTGGCAACAAAAAGTGCTAAATTCCTTTAAAACTCTGAAAAATGCCACAAAATGTGGGATCAACCAAAAGTTGCTGGCACCTTGCTAAAAGGGACAGACTCGTTTTTAGCCGTTTCGGCATATAAATAAAAATTTCTGTATTATGATCCATTTTCTTGAAATTAATCTGTGGACCTGACCTGTAATCTAAAGCAGTCCCAAGTTTATTAAGATTTTAATTAGCCAGCAGCTTTTTGTTGTTCCCCAATTTGTGGCATTTTTCAGAGTTTTAAAGGAATTTAGCACTTTTTGTTGCCACGAGAATTGATCTCTTTTTGCGAAAACCAAAAGCCCTTTTTTAAAAAGACCCTTTTTAGCCTTAGATTTGGCATTGTTGCAATCGATGATCGCAGGGAAAAATGCCTTGCTATCCCCTTTAGAAACCCAGATCATCTACCCTGAAAATATAGCCTACAGCGGTTCATCGGCCGGCGAAACTGGGCTGTGCCCCAGCACCTCTAATCGATGGTATTCAGAGGCTGGTGGGGCGGCATCTGTAGCATCGTCACTAAATTGCAAGCAATTGCTATTATTGAGATTTCTTTAACCACCCCTTAATTGCGTACTGATACTCATGACTGGTCGTAGGTACGGTTGTGGATTCGAAGCTATCCACGGTCGTTGGCAGCTCGGAATCACCCTGCCAAAGGTTGAATTGTTAAAAAATGTAACTGACGTATCGGCCCATGCCCATCACGGCCTCATTGTCGCTTGGAGGGGCTGGCGGGCTGCTATCTAGACCCTGAATTGTTGTCGGCAGCTCCGAAGATATCGTCGTCGTTTCGGCAGCTAGAATAATTTGAAAAAAGCCTTTCGCAGCGTACCGGCAAATTCCAACATGTTGACCACAGATTCGGTGACCGAGAATGGCATATCCTCGTTCTCATCCGGGTACTGCAACGATAATTCATGGTATAATGGATTAATAGCTTAGACCTTAGAATTCATGCAATGAAGGGCAACTTCCCCAAAGAATTCCCAAGCAAAAACCCCTACCTGATCATCAAGGGAATGGCTCAATTTGTCTTCAGTGCTGAAATCTTCTTTGGCGGCGTCCGGAACGGCGGGATCGGCAAGGCCACGACCGGTTGGCTGAAAATTTGACATATTTAGGGGCTTCTTCAACCGATTTCCGAATTTAGGACATATTCCCCTTTTACTCACCGATTTCCTAATGTCCACCCCTGTCTTCCTAAACACTCGCAGCTCCTTGCTGGTGGGCTAAAGTCGCGGTTATAAAGTTGTTTTGGTATTTTTACCGCTTTCCCAATATCAAGCTCAATTTCCGGATCCCCAGCCGTCGAGACCTCGACCGAACTGTTCATCTTCTGATATAATCGATCGAAGTTGTCATCTGTGACGACGTATTTTGGGCGTTTTAGAGAGGCGGGGAAAAGCTAAAAGAAATTTGGGCCATCGTCGCTTCCTACCATTGGCTTCTTGTCATCATTGATTTTGGTGAAAATCGGTCTTTCAGTTGGCACGCTAAAACGTGCTCAAATTTTTAGATCAAATTCACGGGACCAAACCTTTCGATTTGAAACATTGGGAGACTCATCAACAATTTGTTGCGGCGTATCTTTTGATTCAATGTCTCGCCGGAAAGTTGAGATTTCGAGGACCAGGCTGAAAGCGAGGTTTTAGGAATGGGTTTCGCCTACGAGATGGTATCGTCACATCTTTGTACCGATGATGAACGTGGCCATCCACTGAATTTTCGACAATTTCTCGTTTCAATAGACCTAAAGAGGTCGTTAGGAATTGCTGTATGGATTGGAGATACTTCGTGTTTTGGTTAATGGCACTGTTCCACCGTAGCCAAATAGTAAGAGGAGGTACAGGATAGTCATCTTCGGCGAAACATTAAGGGTGGGGGTCTGAAAGGGGTGATTTAGAAGTTTTGTTCTTTAGCCGGAAAATAAGGAAAACAAAAGGGTAAGAAACGAGGGTTCTTTAGCATTATCGGGGGTCGCGAAGTCTGGAAAGGACCAGTAATTTAATAGGAAGCAGTTTTGTCTTGTTTCTAATAAAATATAATATTTTTCAAATAGGGAAACCATCCAAAAACTTCAAAAAAATTTGGATGGGGCGACACTTTGGCCAACAATCGGTCACTTTTCGTCAAAAAATCGAGCTTTTTGTAAAATTTTTAATAGAAATTTGGTCTTTTTCTAGGTTTAGGAATAGTAAAACACCGTTTAGAAACACTTCCGATGTCTATACTAGGTAACTGATATCCTAAGCAAAAAGTTGGTCCCCCCGATAATACAAAAGAGCCGAATAAAATGGAAATCAGAGTCAACGCTGAAGGCAATACTCTCTGTCATAATATTAATTTTTTTTCTAACAGGGTTTCCCAGCTACCGTAGTGAGAAATTGCCGTTCGGCAAGCCCCGGGGGCGTCAGACTGTCTGCCGGTTCCTTCCGATGTTCCACGGATCGGCCCGAAATTCCGCGTGGCTACTCGAAACGGGTCCCCCGTTGGGGGTCACATCGTGGTGCCGTTTTCAATAGCCCGTTCTTACCCCGCCCAACAGCTCTACCAAGGGGGTATTCGAAGGGAAATGAGGCGGATAAACGGAACGAAAGTCGACCGGACCCCCTCCGGACGACTCGTGCGCCCCACCGCTTCCTGGATGCGGATCAGCCTCCCCCTCCCCCCTCAGATACCGTCTCCCCGGTATGAGCCCCAATGTTACGTGAACGCCCTTTTTTGTGGGAACAGCTTTAGCCAACTGGTTTTCAAGGAGGGTTTGAATGGAAATTTGAGGGGTTGAGGAATTCCGGGGGAGTGAGGGCAAAGGGCAATAGCCTGTAAATACCTGACAGAAAATACACTAAAGGTATCACGAAGGCTGATGCCCGATCTAAATCTAAACGATCTAAAAATTTGTCGCGATCCGTCGATTAACAATTTTCTGGAGCGTTGTGTTGCGTTCGCTGCGCATTAATCATAGAAATTTCCCTAAGCAAACCGGTTATCGGCAACAAATACCTCAACTTCTGCAAAATTTCGAAGTTTTGAAATTTCGGCATTATGAATTTCAAAATTATGAAAGAAAAACTAGAGAAACTAGCCTTAAATCGATAAATTCCATCCGTTACAAATGCAAATCTCTGTAAATGCTGGGTAGCGATAAGCGCTGCCTCGCTCAAAAAAGGCCATCCAATGGTTGAATGCGAAAATTTCAAGGATTAAACCTCAAAAACTCCAGAAAAGCACCCAGGAAGGTCAAATTGCCAATGCCGCAAAAAAAGTGGCGGCTTCTCCCATGCGGGGGTCACTTTGAAAACCGGACAGTAGCCGCCGACCCTAACTTGGATGGGGCCGGTCCCAAACCGCCCAACCAAGCAACAATCCGACCTCCCTCTTCCCCCCAGCCGTAGTACACCCTTTTCCTCTTTACGGCCACAAATGACGCTGCTCACCCCATCCCGTTTGCGCAGAAAAAAAACGAACGGTGAGAACGGGCATTTCGACAGTGACCAATGGAAATTTTTAAAGGTGCGGAAACAGGGGGGACAGCTGATTGACAAACACTCTTCTTCACGATTCTTGGCAAACTTCCATAAATCCCCACAAAACCTGCCAAAAATCGTAAAAACGATGGCAAAAGGGGCGAATCCTTGGAAAAGCCAGGGAAGCGCTGTACATAGCTCCTGGGGCTACCTGTGAAGCCACCTATGCAAATCCCAACCCGCCACGGGGGGATTTAGGGCATCCCGGAGAGCGTCCGGTTCAACACCCACCACGGAAAAACGACGATCCACGGCATCATCCAGCCATGACAACACCCACATCGCGACCCCCCAACCAACCCGATCCATGATAGTTGCAAAACGGGGGAAGATGTGGAAATGAAATAGGAATGTGTGTGACACTTGTGGAAATTCTGCGATCCCTTTAAATAAATAACTCCGGTTCGTTTTTCGGTATGGAAATCTCTGATTACATGTGAATTTTCTTCCACTTTCCTCCTGATCGCAACCACAAACTTTTTCCAAGACAGTTGGGATTGCAATTATTTAACCGGGTACGTTTTGTAGCCCCCGCGCCGAGAAGGATTCCAGAAAAGCCCGAAGCCGTCTCAAAATTCGTACGGCAAGCTTTTTACCGCGTTAATTGCCTCGGACTACAGAGAAAAATCGGCGGTTTAGAAATTGTCAAGGATTGAAGAGATAGCGATCGGGTGGACAGGCCTCCCGCAAACAGCAGCTGCTTCCTAGCAATGACTCACAGATTTCACTTACCAAATCGTGTCTATCGTTAGTCAAGTAGAGCTACAGTTCAAAAAGTAAAACGAAACCTTCAATGCCCATTTTTCGGCAACCCCCGCCCTGATTCAAATTTTAGACGCAGCCGAAATCGGGAGCGGAAATTCGACTCAACCGCGTTGCCACGTAACTGACGAGTCGTTTCTTCCCGGAAAGTTAGTGCGGATTAATGGAAATTTGAATGTTTGTTTTCAGATTTTTAGACTTCTACTCAGCCGCCGTTTTGGTATGCAATTACCGCCAAAAACAATTTGATGTCAGAAGATCCAGACGTCGTCCGCCGGAGTACTCGCCGCTCACCTCAATGATCCAAGATGTGCGCTCCAAGCCGCTCATCCCGACGTTTTTTTTTGGTTCACCCAACGTCCAGCTAATCCCTACATATAACATGACCCCCAGGGACTGATGATCCCCATCTGTTGCGACGCTGCTTAATAGCGTTTTTGCTCTCCCTGATTTTTCGGCGGCTTTACAAATCCCCGGAGATCGAGAAATAAATTCCGCGAGGCACCGCCGGGGTGGGGGCTTTTTGTATCTAGTAAAGAAATTATGTTGCGATGTAGTGGGGTGAGGCTGGAGAGTGGAAAGAGTCAAAAGAGTACAGTGCCCCACGGCGGCCAAGCCGCCCTCCCCCTTTTTGGGCCATTCTCCGACACATCTTTGTACAACTAATACCCGGCCAATTTCCGGTCACGCGTCCGGAATTTGTTTTATAAATATTTTTTGGTTGGGCGATTGGTACTTTTAAGGTGTAACGTATCCATGCACCTTTTGATGCCTGGGCTCAGTTTTGGACTACGCATATCTTTATTTTTATGATCTTTGGCTCTGGATCTACTAGCTACCCGCTCAAGCTACCACTTTTATCAGATGTATGGTTTTAATTTTGTGTGTAGAATCCAATAACCATCCCCCTCAACCGTCCCCTGTTTTTATCGGATCTTTCGCCGGACACCTGCGCCGTTGTGCATAAAAAAGCAAGCGAGCCGCGGGGCGCTGTATTAAAAACAATTCCACTCACACTGACAATCCCAAAGATTTCTTTTTGCGTTTCGGGCACGGCTATAATTTTTACTTTGATTTTGGCTGCTATCTACGATAGCAACAATTCCCCAGGGGCAAGAATCAATGTATGAAAGTTCCGAACAAGGGAAAATTCAGTTTTGCCCATAGCGCGAGAATTTGTTGATATTGATTTCCCTTGGTCAAGCAAGGGCCGAGATTTGCTTATTTATATATATTCGATACTCCGAAATTCGACGTTCTGCAACTTGCACATAATAAATTTTTAAGTTTTGAAATGTCGACGTGATTTCGCCATTATGATTTTCCACATCTTGAAAGTAGCCTTACCCTGCACCCGTAAATCCTAAAATTCTACATCATTGCTTATTACATCGAATTTGCCAATTTGCATAAATGATTTTAGAGCTGCCGATATCCAGCACACATCCCTGCCAATTAATTCTGATGGACCTCACCGAACAGCAGGTGCATTTTTTCGTATCCCCGCGATCATTCGGAGTCGTTTCAGTATTATTCACGATAATATCACTACAAATTTATTTGATACTATACACATTCATTACAAACAAAGTTGATTAGATAAAGATGGACGGCCACGAGTACTGCCCACCCCTGAAGCGTCGCGGCAGCGTCACCACCGTAACACCAGACCTTTGAAACATAAATTTGACGTGTTTCAGGAAGTGGACAGCTCGTCGGATGAGATTGAAGAACGAAAGGTGGGCATCAAATACCAAAAAGTTTTCGCTTATAAAATCAAGTAAAAGTCGATTTGAGAGATTATTCGCCGAAGTGGATGAGTTGCGGCGCCAGAATAAGCAACTGGAGGGCAAAACGATGGTTAGTGTTTTGTTATAGAATTGAGCTTTTAGCGGGCGCATGGTTCAGTTTTCCAGAAACAACAAGCTTGCTCGTTCATTTAAAACTTGATACAATTCTTGACAATTTCAGCGACAGCAGGAACTAATCCTGAATTTTTACCGGAATGACAGCCGTGTTCAGCTCGAAGTAATTCGGACCAACGAATCGGTAGAGCTTCACGGACCAGATTGATCCCATTTTAGGCGATTCAGAGAAATCGTGAACAGGATGCACAGTACCAACGCCTTACGCAACAATTAAAAAAGGCAAATGTGGGTTTGGTTTGATGGATGGAGAAAACTATACGGCGTGGCTTTGGGTCCGCCTACAAAATGCGCAAAAAGCTTATTATCTTCAGGAGAGGGCTGAAGAAAATCACCGGAACTACACTGCCATGAAGCAGGTGGGTTATTAATTCGGTGCAAATCTTCAAATGGGCCGGTAAGGCTGGTACGGTAAGGGTATGCTTGGGTTTTAGGCTTGGGTTCAGGCTTAGGCTTGGGCTTAGTTTAGGCTTAGGCTTCGTTTAGGCTTAGGCTTAAGCTTAGGCTTAGACTCGATTTAGGCTTTGGCTCAGGTTAGGCTAGGCTTCGATTAAGCTTAGGCCTCATTTAGGCTTAGGTTGGGCTTGGGCTCAACTTAGGCTCACATAAAGTTTTCAGGACCGGGACCACCATTCAGAGCAGGCGGCCAACTGGCAAAAAATTGCCATGGAAGCCCAGAACCAGCTGGCTGTAAGTTTTTGTGCTGCACCAAGTGGACTCTACATGCATTTTGCCCCAATTTTACCTGGCTTTTAGCATCTACGGTGCTCGAGACGCCTGTCCAACGAGAAGCCGCAATAAAACGAGGGATTCGAGTCGAAGGCTAGGAAAACTTTTTTCCCGCGCGATTTAGCGCACGGTTTTTGTCCTTAACTCCCCGATGTCGTTTGAATTTTCCACATGACTTGCCTCTGTTGTCGCGTTTGCCCTCTATGCATTGATTTTCCTGTAAGCATCATAGTTTTTCTTTTTTCTGTAAAGCACCTAATCGGACCCTCAAAATAGCAATTAAAATTCGCCATCCCTCTCCCCTCCCCCATGATCCTCAGGTTTCGATGCGCAATAAAAGTGCTATAACTTTAGAAATTTCTCAACCCACCCGAATTTTCTTAATGATTCGAAGAGCATATTCCGAATAAATACTTGTTTACCGGACGGCAAGTTTGACAATCGAGACACTCGAATTCAGAGACGGCGAAAAATAACGTACCGAAAAACGGTGAGATGTAAATTTTGGCTGAAGTATACTACTGTAGGTCAAATTGCGCCCAGCACTGGGGTGGTAGCCATTTGGCATTGCGCGATGATCTCCCAGTTGACCCGGGTCGGGCTGGATGCCGCACTACGAGCCCGAAAATCGATACGAGGCAACCCGGTCCGGCCCGAGACTCTCTTTCCCTCTCTTTCTGCATCCACACACAAACACACCCTCTATTAGCCCACCATACGGGCCGGTCCATCGATTCAAATCTGCAATCCGTAGCTACAAAGCTTAGCTTTTTGACTTATTGCAATAGTTATTGCAGTCTTTTACGTTATTAACCGGAATTTCACCGGAATTGGGCCTCGGAATATATGATGAAAATGAAGCCACTCACCTGTTTTATCGGAAGGAATTTCGGCTTTGCAAAATTCGGTTCCAAAATGTTGGAAAAACAGTATTTGTGCAATAGCTCAGAAATTACGGTAGCTAGCGGGCTAAAAAATTCCTTGAAGCATTTTCAATTCCCTTGTGCACCTCTCTTCATAATTTCAAGTTGATCAGACTTAAAATGGCTACCAGCGTAACCTTTCTATTCGGCACTCTCTTTGACCGCTATCCAATTCGTCGCAAATACCATTCCTAGATACCCAGAATGTCGCGCCGCACCCGCGCCGACGTGTGGGAATTCTTTTCCAAGGTCGACCAATTGGCCACTTGCCAGCTCTGCGGGGCACAATTTCGATATGTTAATGGGACGACAAGCTCAATCCGACGGCATCTTTTCAAAAAACATGCTGACATCGCGGATAAAATCGGAATATCAGGCAGAAAAGATGTAAGGGTAAGTTGAGCTTCAGCCAGTCTTCTGAGTCGTTTTTCAGCTCTCCTTTAAGATTTGTCAGGATCATAACAGGGAGAACATTCCGCTCACATGCCAATTGCCATCAACATCCACATCGATGTTGAACATCAGCGTGAATCCCGGCCTAGCATATCCAGATGTTGGGAAGGATATCAAAGATGAAATAGGCTTTGAGGAGGATGTCCATGATTACTTCTTAGATGATGGAAATACGAACACCGAGGCGCTTCTTTGTAAGTTCTTTTTGGCTACGGTTTACTTTACCCCTCCCAGCTTGAGGGTTTCCAGATTTCCAGCCAAAACGCAGAAACCCAAAACGCAGAATGCTAAAACGCAGGCAGCCAAAATGCAGACAGGCCAAAATGCAGACAGCCAAAACGTAGACAGCCAAAACGCAGACAGCCAAAACGCAGACACTGAATATGCTGACAATGAATATGCTGACACCATTGAATATGCAAACAGCCAAAACCATCTCATAACTCAACACTTTATTCTTCCCATCCGAAATACAACTGCTGGTACAAGCACAGGAGAAGTTCATTTTTGGGATGTTTGAGGATTTGAGATTTTGGGATGATGCGAAGATATGCGAAAGTTGTCATCGTTGTCGAATTAGGTGAATCAGGTGTCTGCATATTCGGTGTCTGCATATTCAGTGTCTACTTTTTGGCTGTCTGCTTTTTGGCTGTCTGCGTTTTGGCTGTCTGCGTTTTGGCTGTCTGCGTTTTAGCATTCTGGGTTTTGGGTGTCTGCATTTTGGACTTTTCCCCAAAATTTTGGAACTCTCAAAAGCTAATTTCCGACAATTACAATATTTTTACGAAATTTACACAACTGTTAAGATAAAATTTTCAGATGCCACAGGCACATCAGTTAATAGCCCGACTGAACCGTCACCTTCGCAAGAGGATCGAGAACCCGAGCAGGTCGTTTTTCTACATTTAAGATTTCCGGTCTAAACATTTCTGTGAAACGTTCTTGATTTCAGAAACTGGACGAGCCATCGCCATTACAAGGACAACTAGACCAGGCAACGTGGGAACTCAAGATGTCGCGCCTCGAGCTCAAAAACGCGAACGTCGAGTTGGAGAAGATGCAGCGGCTGTACATGAACAAATCGATTGAACTGGACCTTATGCGGGAAGAGGTAACGGACCTCACAATACTCCAATCAAAGGTTTAGTACGAAAAGATGAAGGGAAAATTGGCGATACTCGAGAAGCATAGCGGCATCCCATAAGCATCAAGTTATCCTTTATATAATATTAATGACGGGTCTTTTATAATAAATATAATTGCTAATTTGAGCGTGTTGATCTAATTGCACTAATGCTCCTCCTTCAAACTTCGAGCTCATTTCAACCCCTCGCCGCCACGTACAGCAGCACCGACCTTGCGGACTGTCCGCTTTTTAGCACCGGACAGGCGGTCGACTTCAACGAGCGACCAAACCCTTTCTTCTGTCCACGAGATAACACGCGCCGTGTTGGGTGTTCTCTGCTCAAACACACCCCAACTGACCGTTCAGCTCCAGTTTTTAGTCAGTTGAACGGAACTTATGGCGACCTTCAATGGTACGACCGAAATGTTCTTGCTGTAAAATGTCATCTTCAACTGGACTGGAAATTCCATTCTGACTTACAATTAGTCTAACTTGTGCAGAATTTTTCGCTAATTCCGAATCTGGTTCCCGAATTTGTAGCAGAGCCAGATTTAAAAAGTTTAAAGCGTTTTTTTGCCGCAAACTGGCACGAAATCGTCCATTCTCTAAAATATGCCTATTTTCATAGATGGCCTCGTGTTCTGGAAGCTCGACAAGCCCTGCTGGTATTAAAAGGAGCCAGTCAGAATTGGTAACTTTCATCGGTTCGTCAGAATTTTCGTTCACAGCTAGATATTTCCGGCGAGGTGATTAAGAGGAGCAAGAGCGAGACCATTGGAGCTTTTGTGACATCTACAAGATCTTCGTCGTATTCGAGCAATATTCTGATGAACAGAGCGTATAGGACGTCGGAAAGGCTGGTAAGCTCGAGTATTGTTCCTATCGATGGTCTAGAGAACGCCTGCAAGCCGTTCCACACCTACTCATGGTCCAGAAGACCTGTCTGGTGCCAGTGATGAGGTATCGTTTGTGGAGGTAGTAATTGACGATAGTGACCCTTACCAGCAATTAAAATATTTGCAAAAATAGTGCTAAACATTGGTTTTTGGGCACGCTGTTGCAATGATCGTCGACACCTCGAGCACCCTCTGAACAAACAAAAAAAACACTTTGCAGGAATTGATGGGTGAATTTTTCGAAAAGCCCACCGCATCGGGGATTTCGACCAAAACGCGTACTCCATTTCAAAGAATGCCGGTGCGGTATCAAGGTAAGGCTTTTGCGTATGCTTAGGATCTTGCCCTAGAATCTTGCACTGTTTTTGACGGCATCCGATGCGTGGCCTACACCCAAACGATACAACTCACCGAAAATGAGGACTCAAAGTTGGCCGAAGCCCTGAAGCGAATCGCCGCGCTAGAGGCCGAAAATGAGAAGGTCTGTTGAGCTTCACGGCAATAATTAGTCAAAGCGTTTCAGCTGTATTCTACCCTGGGGCGGTGCAGAGTTTTGGAAGAGCAGTTGATGGAATGCGTGAGTTTTAAAGGGACCGTGACTGATGATGAGTCTCTTTTTCTGATTTCTGATTTCCGAATCGGTTTGCCAAATTTGCGAAATCGCGATTTTTCGAAAGTTATGAATGGCCTAAAATCGAGAAACGCCCAAAACGATCCACTTTCTATGATTTTCCTGAGGTAAGCCTCTACTTTACCCCCCGCCCCCCGCCGGAAGTTGCCAAATGTTTATTTCACATTAGTTTGGGCTGCCATTTAGGACTCGTAGTCTATTTTTTTGATGCTCTACCGAATGGCGGAGCGAAAATCCCGACAAAATAGCGGAAATGCCGACAAATTTTTGGGACCCACGGGCTGGGGGGGGTGGAGTAAAGGGCTTTTCCCCTTTCCTGATTTAAATACTTCATGAAGTTCCAAAAATAGCTTTTTAGAAAATTTGTTAAGCATATTAGGTATCAACGCAAAATTTTTGGCAAGATAAGCGGAACCCCAAATTGAAGACTAAAAAACGTTTTTTGTTAGCATGACTTTTTTTAGCTGATCTGAACTTAATCTATAAGATGCGACTTTTGCACCTCACTTCAGCTGGTGGCTTTTCTTTCTTCCTGGATAGTGATTGCCTAGATAAAAGAAGCAGAGGGGAAGAAGGCAGGCGGAGAGCACACAAAGAACGATCAACACCCAGACTGCCAGCCAATATGAGCCGCATTCTTGCAGGGTGGCCACTTTTAGTAGCCATTCTTAATTTTCAAATCTTCTCATTCTTAAGCACATGTCGTTTGGGTTTATTTTAATAAATTCATTGTATTTTATATATATTGTGGCTTGTCATTTTAATAAATTATTTGTATGAATGATCGAATACCCGTTGCATACAATGAATTTATAAGGTGCAATTTTGCACAAAGAAACGATTTTTCCTTTCTTTATTTTTTAAACGAGCGCGCCATATGGACCGGGTGGTGCTTCGATTTTGCCCTTTCCTTCTTTCGCGTCTTGCACTCACATGCACCAACCGTAAATAAAAATAGATATTTGCCATATGGAGCGATTACCCGCTGAAATATTGCTGAAAATTCTCAATGAATTGGCGCCACGGGATGTACTGGGCGTGGTGCGCATGGTGTCACGGAAATTCTATGCTATTGTGTCGAAAAATCGAGACAAATTCGGCTTCCCGAAGATAGCCGCTTGCTTTGTGGGACTGGTGAGGTTTTCATTAGTAGACGGAGTATTTGTAAAAGCCTAATTGATTTTTAGAAGCGCTTTGACCCTGAGACCTTCATTGTCTATCGGACGAAGGGAAAGCAGAAAGAATTATTAAATTTCGACATTGCTTGCGAGGACCAGCGGATAATTAATGCCGAGATCGACGTGTTGATAATTCAATATCAATTGCCGGTTTGTTCTTTTGCTCAGGAATTGTAAGAAAAAAATTAGGAATTGAAAGAATACCAGTATTTGGATTCAGGCAACGCCAAACCTCATCAAATTCCTATCAAAAATCTACGTAAAAACCCTGCTCTACGCCTGGGAAGACCCGAAAATTGTGTAAGCTACCTTGCTCTTTGAAAATTCCATTGTTCCAGCAGCTTTCGCGATGAGTGCAAGGAATTTTCGACGCTATTGAGGGGGTGGCTAACGAGGTACATAACGAAATAAACCTACACGTTTTATTGCCATGTCTAGAAAACTTTACCCGCCCCGCTACCATGGTGTTCTATCCGCCGGTGTTCATGGCGTGCAAATATTGTCACTACCCTCTACGCTAGCCATCGATTTCGACAAAACGTCGTCGAATAGTATACGGATACGAAAAATTTCCACCGAAGAATGTATTGAGGTATTGCAGGTTGGTAGCATTTTCTGTATTTTATCGGGATTTTGTCGACGCCATTCGATGTAGCATCAAAAAATACACTAACTTGGGAAGCCCGTATACACACCGACTCAGAATTGGCTGAAAAATTGCACACAGATAGAATCGACCACGCTGATCATCACCCCGTTGCCCAAACTACTGATCTTTAAAATTCGAGATATGCCACTTTTAAAATGATCCTTTAGTTGAAATCGTCAAACTTCATGCACGATTATTTTGATCTTCCCAGCCTATTTTCCAAAAATAAATATCGCCATCGTATTTAGAAAATTTTTCTCTTTCGAATAAGCCCTCTAACTCAAAACTTTCGGAAACTCGAAAAAATGGAAAAATCGACGATACTTGTTATACGGGCTTCCCTAGTAAGAGTTTTAGTAGAGCGCAAAATATTGTAATATTGAAAAGTTATAGCAAAAACAAAAACCGCCAAATGTGAGGTAAAAAGCTAGCTTTCGATATTTTCGCTATTTTCTAAATTTTAAAGATTCAAAGGTGGAACATCAAGAAATATAATAAGGGTTTTAATAAGCGAGTTAAATGTTAAAAACAAGGTGATATAAAATAGTTACAGCAAAAGTCAGATTTAAATGCGATCTCCTTAGTTATTGACTTATTCCATATTTTACAAAATTTCCTAAACACCATACGATAGAGCGCAAGAAAATAACACTACGAGTTTTAATTTCAGCCTAAAACAATGAAAAATAAAATAGTTATGGCAAAAACGCAAAATTCGGATAACAATTCAAACACTAATTTAACTGTATAAATTTTAATACTTATTAAATTCTCTCGCACCTTTACGGGAGTCAAACAGCGGGCGTGCGCGTTCTCTTCGCATCCCCTGTTCAATACAGGGCCCCCTGTCAAGGCTGGTGCTGTGTGTGTGTGTTCTCCGTCTGCTTGTTGCCCTTCCCCAACTATACCTCCCTCTGGCCCACCCCCACACCAGATACCCCCCTCCACTGTTCCCCAAATACCTCTGGTTCGTGTGCATTTGACCGAGAAAATCTTTCGCCTTTTACTAAAGATTTCCGTGCACACGAACAATTATGAGTATACTCTAATTTTTGGAGCCCCCTCGCGAGAGCGGGGCAAAAATCGGAAAGGGTTGTAATTACAGAAAGTTGGCTTGTGAAGACAGTATCTAAGCGGGTTATGGTTTGTAATCAGGTGCTGGAGGGACCGAGTTGCGTCAATTTCACCGGCACCATCATTGTGGACATCCCAAAAGCTCAGATGGAGAAAATAAGGTGGGAAATCAGACATAACACTCCCGATGAAAAGTTACAATACGATGACAACAATTTCAGAAATCGGCTGTCGCAGGATGAGAACTGGAAATGCGTAAACAATACAAGTTTTTCGCGGCGGACCCCCTACGTGAATATTGAGGTAAGCGTCGCTAAAGCTAATTTTACAAATACACATTTTTCAGGCAAGACTCCCCGCGGATCCGGGCCTGCATATAGTTGTTTCAAGGCTCGGCGATTTTCAGCAAAATGCTTGCCCGGCCGGAATATTGAATGTCGTCTCTGACTACCTAATCTATTCACCTAGCCGGTACTTTGCCACCATGTTTTTCATGTAGATTTAGCGAACGTTACGTGTTTATGTTTGTGTATATAAATGGTTTTTATTGCGTATGAAATTCCACAAGATTTGGCGCTCAAAACCAAAAGCTCATGCAGGATAGGTCGCGGGCCCGGTTTTTCAGCTCCAAGGTGCCGAGGTTATAGGGCTGAAATGGTAGAGTGATCAGTACTCGACTGTTAGTAGGGGGACGTTAATTTTTGTTCCCCTTGCTTACTAAAAATTCATAGAAAAATTTGGGCATTTTGATTGGATTAGGGGCCTAGATTTTGATCAAAAAGTCAAAAATTTTCGAAAATTGTTAGAATCGTCATAGGCTTTTCTAGTTCAGTATCAAGTTTCCCGTAACTTTCTAACCTTGTGCTGATGATTTGCTTAAAATTTACTTACTTACTTGAGATTTAATTGGTGGTTAAATCGAAAATTTGGAAAGGAGCTAAAAAACAACAACATACCTCAGCTTTTGCACCTCTTCCCCTGCCAATATGCTTGGTCGGGATCGGGAATTCCACTTTCAAGTAGCAGATATAATAGTATTTCTAGAAAAAAGATTTGATAACGATACGCTACGATACGGTAAGATTGCAGCGATGTAGAATAGTCAGCACAGGGTTCAGCCAGGTCAACTGGCTGGTCGTCGCCTCAACGTCAAAAGTTCCGGACTCTTCGGTGATGACTTCGGCAAGTTGATCGTTAGGGGTGACTTGATTTGTTTCAAAATAGACTTTGCTGAACTTGTAGACCTACCAAAGTCCTCGTCATAAAGCCGCACTTTTGCACCCTCATAGGGTTCCCCATTGCAGGTCAACTTCCCAATTGCCCTCACATGTTCATCTTCATATTCGTGGCGCTGTGCCAAAGATATCGACAAGATTAGAAAAATTAGAGCTGGTCGTTTCATTGCAAGATATTAGCCAATCTCTTTGAATGGATTTGAAGGTTGAATGCGTTGTTTTTGATGAGCAATTCCGCCAAAATACGCCGCCTCATCGATGGCTCAATTTTTCGATCGGTGCAATTTGACAGCCCACATAAAATCCCGAAATATCTGATGAATTTTGAAAAAGCACAAAGTTTATTACAACATAATTGCACAACCAAATCACATCGACTTCTAATAAATGAAAACGCGGCAGAATACCTGTGTACGAGGGGGGCAAAAGATCTTTTATTGCTTGCCTAGCGTTAATTCAAGCAATCACGTTCCTTCTTCAGCATGGACAGCTCGATTGTTTGTACATCGTAGGGCTGAAATAGGTGTTTTTCGTGGTTTCATTAATATAATTTGGATACCATATTTGAACAGCTGCTAACAATGCTTACCTTTTGTGCCCGGGGGCCAGTGGAGATATAGGTGTATGGGATTGGGAACGTCGCCTTGTAATAGCAGAGTGGAATCTAGAGTTACCGATATATAGTTTGTATCCACTACCGTACCGTCTTATCGCATCGATGATAGATATTTAATTGGACATTTAGCCGGGTCCTCTCCGAACCGATTCCCTCAATTTCGAAAGATCCGTCGGCGTTTGAACGGACCTCAGCCAGCTTGTCGTCCATCGTGACTGTAAGCAAGCGGTCTCGTAGTTTAATAGAGGGTTGGATTGAAAATGTCTTACAAATTTCAAAATTTCAAAGTCCAAAGTTGAATTGGTTCTTTCACACCAGCTTTTCCTATCGTTCCATAAATGCGTAGTAAGGTAATAGCAAATTTTAGTAGTGTTTTTGGTAAAATTCAAGCAAAAAATAATCACAAAAATTAAAAACATACTGGGAAAATATCTTGTAGGCGAATTTTGGTCGAAAAGCCTATATTTTTGTATTTTAAATAAAAATTTGTAAAATTATCGATTTTAGGAATAATAAAAATGTCTAACAAATTAAATAATTACGACGCTATTCTTATTAACAATACCGGAACCTTAGAAGAAAGTGATTTTATATTTTCAGGCCGCGAAAGTTTTAAACGTTCTTTTAAACTTACACGTGTCATGATCGTACAGCTTAATCTTGGCATTTCCGTAGGGCTTCCCTTTACACGTCAACTTTCCGAGCACCCGAACCGATTGATAGCCGCCGACCACAGCTCCAATCAACAAACACAGCACCAACACGCTTCGCATCATCTGAAATTTATTTTGTTTATAAAATCTCATTCAATCCACGAAAAAAGAGCACCGGAATGGAAAACATGGCATGAGGTTTGATAAGTTGGCGTGTGGAGCAAATAAAGTAAAAAGTAAGAGCACTTTCAAGGGTTGAGTATCGAAACGGAAACCTGCGGAAAGTCAATAGCTTTTTGGGGGAAAGGATTATTCCTGTCAAAGAAAGTTAGATGAATTATTTCTTGTTGAAACAGTCGCGGTTCTTCTCCAGCATGGACAGTTCGAGGGTTTGGATGTTGTAGGGCTAAAGAGCGTTTTTATAAATAGTTACGCCAGGTAAATACGTACGTTCTGAGCTCGCGGTCCCGAGTTGATGTAAGAGTATGGGATCGGGAATGAGTATTTGTAGTAGCAAAGCGGAATCTGGAACGAATGGATTACTAGTCAGAGGCGAGCCTTTCTAACGCACCGTTTTGTCGCATCGATGGTAGATGTTCAGCTTGACGTTCAGCCGAGTGCGCTCATTTCCGACACCCTCGATGTCAAAGGTACCGTCCGAATTCGATTGGACTTCGGCCAATTTATCATCGAGGGTGACTAAAAATGGCAGTTCTATAGGTGGATTTGCTATTATAATGCCGAAATTTAATGATGTCGAAATCCCAGAATCTCGACATTTCAATATGATAAAATTTTTTGGATAGGATCCTGGCTTTTTCTGGGAGAGTTGCTTGTACAAATTTTCAAGTATGATTTTCGACAATTCAAATTAACCCCTATCCGTCCTTTCGCGTCAACTCACATGTATCATGGTCGTACAGCTTGATCTTGGCTCCTCCGTACGGCTGCCCCTTGCACGTCAGCGTGCCGTACACCCGAACCGACTGGTAGCTGGCCAGAGTTACGGTAGCCAGGGCGAGGAACACCACACAGCGCAACATATTATCTGAAAAAAATTTATTGTTGAATGCGGGGTCGGTGATTATAGAAGAGGCTTATGGAGAAGAATCCGAATGATAGAGGGTGAGTTGCGGAGGCACTTGATAAGATAGGAACCGGCATTTAGACAAGGAACTCGGGTGTTGAAGGTGAAAAATATAGCCATCAAGGGTCAAGCGAAGTAAGCATAGAAGCAGAACAAACAATTCGTAAGCCGAAAATTGTCAAGGTCTTTTCCGTTTAGTTGATACAGTCACGGTGCTTCTCCAACAGGGACAGTTCGATGGTTTGCGCGTTGTAGACCTGGAAATTGGAGCTGTGGATAGTATGAATTGGTCAGCAGTGGAGCCGGTTTTTCCACATAAATACCCCGCGTTTCCCCTGACGATTATGAAAATCAGGGTCAAAAGTGCGGGTGAGTCATCGGGTATCGCGTGCTTTGGGGGGGGGGGGGTATGCTTTCAACGTCTGTTCTGTTGTTTGAATTGATATCATACTTGGGAAAGCTGAGAGATTCGGGAAGGGAAAAGCATGACCTCATAGGGCATAGTTTATTATTGTTTACGTTAGAGTTTCGTACCTCCTTTCTGCGGGAATAATAATACTGAGAATGCGGCGGCGTTGATTGATCCCACCCCCTTGGTACTGGTCTGTTAGCAGGGGGGATTTTGTTTTTCGGTCCATTAAGAATAAATCGTGTATCTTTTAAGTTTCTAGTAGTTTCGGTTTGCTGCAAAGTACCAAAATATTTTTAACACTTTTGAAAATGCAAAATCTAGGCACGTTTGGTAATTTTTCTTACATTTTTACGAACAAGTCAAAGATTCTAGAAAATTTTTATTGGATTCTATGAGGTTTTTATGTCTCGAAAAAATGGTGTAAACAAGCTAGAAAATAGTTTCTATTTTGTACCTAGGATAACTCGGAAAAATTAAGTTCCTGCTCCAGTACCCCATCCCCTTTGCTTTACTAGTAATTTTCTGCTCGTCCTACCTTGTTGGCATAGGTTCCGGTGTTGACAAAATCGTAGGGGACAGCGAATGAGAACTTGTAATCGCAAAGCGGAACCTGGAAACGAAACAAAATGCGTTGCCGACTACAGTAACGCACCGTCATGCCGCACTTGTGGTAGATGTTGAATTTGGCGTTCAGGCGGCTCACCTCGCTGCCCGTACCCGCAATCTGCAATTACAGAGGCATTTTGTGTTTTAGCTTTCTAAATTGTATTCTTTTGGGACCTACTCGGAAATAGCCCTCGTGGTCAGTCTTGGTCTCGGCCAGTTTGTCGTCAAGGGTGACTGAAATGATAGAGGTAGTCATTCTTCGCCTGTAATCAGCAAATAGACAAAATTCGTTGGATTTCTGACCAAAAAACCCTTACAAGTGTCGTGATCGTAGAGCTTGACTTTGACTCCGGCTGCGGGTCTCCCTTCACATGTCAGTCGCCCCTCAATGGCCACCGTCTGCTTATTAGCAGTTGCGTATGCCAAAAAGACGGCGAAAATCACAGCGAAGGTTGTGAGAGACATCTGAAATCTAGGTATAAGGTATCATTGAAAGCTCTAGGAAAATAGCAGAACTTTGACTGAGCGATGGGTCTTTCGTCAATGATATGGGAGGAAAACAGGTTTAAGAATTGATGGGTTGGGTTTGAAAAGACAGCTCACCCGTAATGTTGTTATTTAAAAGCCTATCAATCAACCAAAATAATCAAACTTCCACTCCCAAATAAAAGTCAAAACAGGAGATCATATGACTGTCCTGCCGGCTCGAGAATCGAGAAAATTGGCCACCAGGCCCGACGACAGTTTATCAAAAACTGTGTGGCCGTTTTTCGTGGCGATACGGCAAGGGGGGAAAACAAGGAAAACGGGCCCGAACCGTAGATGTAAACAGGCGTCGGCTGTCGCCCCCAGGGCCGATAAACGGAATGAGGAGGACTATGGCCTCTGGGCCTTTTGACCCATCAGCAGCAATTCAAAAATCGTAAACTGACCAGAAGCGGAAGTCGGAGAAAATGGTTCCGTGTCGCTTTTCGACCTGGTATTGTATATCGTAAATCTTAACGATGGATCAATCGTAATTAATTAGTTTTTTATTTGCTGCTGGGTGCGAAAGTCTAAATTTCAAGCCCATCCTCCTGACCTGGGCCATTTCATTCCTCTGCACGATCCCTATCGGCCTCCTTGGCTGTTTGTCTGTCTGTTCACCTCCAGAGATACCCGCGAATTATTACGCCGACCATGATACCTGAAATCAGTTTATTAGTATGATTATTGTACTCCGGATTAATTGCATGAAATGGAATGGAATGGCAGGTCAGCACCAAGGGATGTAAATGACATGGCAAGATGGCCTCTATCAATTGCTGAAAATAGCACAAAAAGTAGAAGCTTGGAGAGACGTTTAGTTGAGGCAATCGCGATGCTTCTCAAGCAGGGATAGCTCGATGGTTTGGGCGTTGTACACCTGAAAAAAGAGGATATGGTAAGTTGCGTATTTCAGCACTGTAAAATCTTCTAAATTAGGAGAGCTTGATTTACCTTGTTGGCGAAGGTGCCAGAGTTGACGAAGGATGATGGGACGGCGAATGAATACTTGTAGTAGCAGACGGGCAACTGAATTTTGTCATTTTTACGGAGTTTTCTAGCCATATTTTCGCAAATCCCCGAATTTTTCGTTCAATAAAAACCTACAGTCTTTCCACAACGATGGTAGATGTTGAACTTGGCGTTGAGACGGCTCACCTCACGCCCAGTGCCGACGAGCTAAATGAAGTTATTTAGAGCCTCTGATAAACGACTCACCTTGAAATAGCCCTGTCCGTCCGATTGGGTCTCGGCGAGTTTGTCGTCCGTGGTGACTACAAGAATGGTAAATATAAAAAAAGAGAATAACTTACAAGTGTCATGATCGTAGAGCTTGACCTTGGCTCCGGAATACGGCTTTCCATTGCACATCAGACGACCCTCGATGGCCACCGTTTGCTTGTTGGCTGCGGCGATGGCAACGATGCCAACGAGGAGTACTACGAGCAGAGAATTCATTCTGAAAAATTTGTTAATAGTTGACGGGCACTGTGTTGAGGGTATAAAATGGAGGCTTGAATGTAGTTGAAGCATAAAGAAGGCGCACAGTACGTCAATAAAGTACTAACCAGATGATAAGATAAGATAGGCATCGTCATTTGGAAGGTTGGGGGAATATTAGCTGGTATCGAGTACGAGAAAATTAAGGGATTGACTTTCCTGTACCACCCCATCCCCCCAGGGTCGGGGGCCCCGAAATTTGTCGGCATTTCCGCTTATCTGTCGGGATTTTCGCCCCGCCATTAAATAGAGCATCAAAAAATATACTAAGAGTTTCAATTGCAGCCTAAAATAATGCAAAATAAAAATTTCTAGCGAAAAATATTTCTGGCTTGTGGGGGGGGGAGAGAAAGTAAAGTTTAGTTTTACCAAATTAAGGTTATATTAGAGGCGGTCTGAGCGTAGAAAAACTAACCTGCACTATCCCACCAACAAAAGTTCACCAAAAAACAGTGGCCCCAAAAACGTGAGCGAAAACAAGGGCTACAGATGGGGCGGCTGGACCAAATATTTTGGTGGGTCCTGTGGATCGGAGACTCGCCGACCGGCGGGATTTATATCTTCGGGGTAGAGGGGCCCCGGGTGGAAAGAGGACAAAGAATAGACGGGGAGGAGGTGGGACACATGACTCAACCCAAAATACACACCGACAAACAGACCACCCCGGAAAATAACAAGGAAATAATGAGGGGTTTCGATGAGTCATACGGGTCACCGTAGTGCTGATCAAGTTGTGAGAAAGCTTGCCGTTGAAATAGTGTTTTGAAAGGTATAATCGTCGATTGCTCGTGAATTTCGTCCCTTGTTTATAAATCGGTAATTATCTAACGGAGGCAGTTATCGACAGCACCAGCAAAGTTTCCATTTTTTTTCTAAATTCGCCTGGGTCCTTTAGGATTCGCATGGAGACCATTTTTTCTTAGCGATCCCGGTTGGCCTAGTAATCATAAATAAATATGAAATGTTCCACATGGTTTTTGTAAGTTCTAGCTATATTAAAGTAGAAAAACTTTCAAAAAATTAGTAAGGTGTTTGACAAATATGAACATTAGATCATTTTGGTCTCGAAAAAAACCGATTTTAATGAATTTTAATGACATGAATTTAAAATGAAACTTTCGATTCAGATTTGGCAATTTTTTATTCCAAGGAATAGCCAAAAAAATGTAAAAACGCATCCGCTATTCATAGAAACATTTTGGGCTTGCACCAAAGAAAGTTGGTCCCCCAACGAATCCTAAAGAACCTTCACCTGCTAGTGAAAATTCAATTTTTCTTGCGATGTAACATCAAAAATCCTGTAAAACCAAGACCGTACGGTACGCACTGAGCGGAAGTGAATCTGGTGGTGAATGGCTCGATCAGTGAGCCCATATGATGCTGGATGATAGATATGTTGTGGTCCCCCCCCCTGAAGTGGCCATGTTTTGGGACAGACTAATGGCCGAGATCTCAAAACATCCAGAGCCAGCCCCGGTTCGAAATCGTTTTTGCTGGGAGGTATTTATTAAATGCTTCGGAAAGTCTGCTGGTCCAGAACTTCAGATAAAATCCTGCTAGAAGGAATAAAATACAAGGATTTCGGGCGCATTTTTCGCAAGGTGATTATCGTGAATTCTCAAAATGCTCCGCTATTCCTTAAATTGTGCTAGATCCCATAATAGTACTGTGGTTTTGTTTTATGAGAAAGGCATTCCCGTTGCATCGGCCTGTTTAGAAATGACAAAGGCGCAAAACCCTGGATGTTTATAGAGAAAACCGGGGACTTTCCGGTATACACAAACCGTTAGGGGTATCCGGGCGGAGAAATAGGCGCTCCAGCATACCCCCATTATAGGGCGCCCCATATTTATGGTGGGGGTCAGACGATCGCGCCGCTCTACAACTGTGGACCAATTCCGAGTCGGAAGGACCGGAAAACCGTTTGATCCCTGTATCGAATGGAATCTACAATACGGATCCTGTAATAACATATCCAAAAATAATTCGTAACGGTTGCTTAACGGGGGTGTTGCACCTGTATTAGAGTCGGTTTTAGTGTTCAGTGGATTTGGATGTACTTTAAGCGTAGGGTGCAAGGCTACGGTATAATAACTTAGGATTTACTAGCGGAATACACTGATACAACCTTCAAGCCTCGAGCTCTAGGTGGCTGTCCTAAGAAAAGGCGCAGCAACCAAGCGAGCTCAAGGTAAGGGGAAGGGTAGTAGAGTGAAGTGAAGCTGGGGGCCCTAGTGGCCCCTTTTATACGGGCGCCGGTCCTCCCCAGGGACCTGTTACGACCCCAGGGCACGGTCACTCATTGGAGGAGTGACACTCCCGGGGGCCAAAAAAAAACAAGTGGATGAATATGGGGAAATTGGGTTATTTTAAAAGAAGATGGGAAGGGAAAGGTTGAAGCGCACGGATTGGGAAGCAACACTAACGATAACAGATGGGGGGGGGGGGAAATCCAGCGAACCTAGCCTGGTTCCAATCCGTGCTAATAGTTGCGTTTAGTTAGTAGGGCCGTTGATGGAAGAATAGGTTAGTACCAATGAGAGGAAGCATCATAGCAAGGAGCTGGTTTCTGGTTCGCGACGACGGATTCTGGTTGTAGGTGTATGCGACAGTTGTAAGCGGGCATGGGTTGGTAGGCGAGCACGAAGTTGCTTCTGCAAATGGACGGTTAAGCGATCAAGAATTTTGCAGAAGGCGAGGGTTATGCAATCGGCATGGCAGAGACATGAAGGATGAAGGTCTGCGTCTGTGAATTTGCGTCATCTTCATCCGAAGTCGCTGAGTAGGTAGCGTCCGAGGGATCGGTGTCCGAGCTATTAATGGCGGAAGTCGTGGCATCGGGATACTCGCTTTCCGAAAGATCTCCGTCATCCTCGGAAGTAAACGTAGATTTGGAATCCGCTTCTTCTTCATAACTTGAGTTGTCATCGGAACTTATGTCAGTTGCGCTCATATCTGGATGGGATTGAAAAGGGTTTGGTCCCAGAATCACGGTTTGGATGATCGGCTGCAGGCACGGCTGCGAAGATGGATGGGCAGTCCTATTGGACAGGGCTCTGATGTTCCGTTGTTCCAATTTAGTAGCACGTTCGTTTGTCCGAAGATCATACAGCTCAATGGCAGCTCTCTGTTCGTATGTGGCGTCGTCCAGCTTTCGCCAGCATAATACGGTCTGGTCGTACTCATCGTCCAACTGATGAACATCCTTCAGCTCCTCGATTTCCTGCGTCATGCCCTCGTCGTTTCCGCTTTTGACGTAGTCGATGATCTCTCCATAAGCTGCTTCATAGGCCTTGATTGTGTCGAGCAGTTGATCAGACTTTGCCATTTGGGCCTGCAGTGCGACTTCCATGGCTTCTTTCTCCTGAGCATTTCTGATGATTGGTGCTGGAAGGGGTGTCGCCTGCGCGACATCGTATCCTTCGAGAACATCGCTACGCTTCTCGCTTAGATCGCCCACGGCTCGCAGGAGTCCCATTCTGAGTTTCGTGTAGTGGCTCGTCGCGTCTGCCGAAGACTTCATTTTTCGTAAGGGATTTTTCGTGAATGATAGATCCGCCGTCGTTCCTGCGTACGCTCGGGAGATGGGCGAGATAGAAATGGGATGGGCTGAACCAATTGAAAAAGGTGATAGAGTCTAGGAGGATGGGTTAGTAATTGGCGTTAGTAGCTGGGCCACAGTTACAGATGGGCATGCACCGAAGACTAACCACCTTACGAGGAACTCTGGGGTTTACCAAGCCCAGGATGGAAATTGACCTTTGGAAGAGGTCGGAGAGCACTTATTCAGAAAGAGAAAACAAGAAAAAAAAATCAGATTTAAATTAGGAAGTGGCGCTGCAGGGCTGGATGATTAATGAGCGGGCCAAGGCGCGCCGCCGGAGCCCCTGTTGCGAAATATGAATGATGGGCGCTTAAGCTGGCTTCTAGAAGCCGGTCTATGACGAAAGTGGCTTGCCCACGGTGCAGTTACGCAAGAGCCGAGGTTTCGAAACTAGTGCTAACTTCAAAGCACGGCAAGCGAATGGAAAGAACTGTAATGATTATGACTGAGGAAGCACTCGCAATGGCAAATTGCGGGCGCCGGAGAGGTTGGGGAAATCCTCCGTCTTCAATTTTGCCTATCTCGCGATGTGGATGCCAACGGGGAAACAACAATCTTAGAATAGCGCGAAAACCGTTTCCAAAAACGTAAACGCCGAATGGTGGTAGAATGGGGCTAGAAGGGCACAAATTTGGCTAAAGGGGATGATCAGTGACTGCACTGGGCCTTAAAATTGGCCGGTTGACAAATGTTGGTGGTGTCTTTTTAACTTAAATAGGAAAGGAATGCGGACTAAATATAGAAAGTAGGAGAGAGTATAAATGTAGGGAATGCCCCGGGCCTTAAGTTGGCCGACGCACCAAATGTGGCACCTGTATTAGAGTCGGTTTTAGTGTTCAGTGGATTTGGATGTACTTTAAGCGTAGGGTGCAAGGCTACGGTATAATAACTTAGGATTTACTAGCGGAATACACTGATACAACCTTCAAGCCTCGAGCTCTAGGTGGCTGTCCTAAGAAAAGGCGCAGCAACCAAGCGAGCTCAAGGTAAGGGGAAGGGTAGTAGAGTGAAGTGAAGCTGGGGGCCCTAGTGGCCCCTTTTATACGGGCGCCGGTCCTCCCCAGGGACCTGTTACGACCCCAGGGCACGGTCACTCATTGGAGGAGTGACAGGGGGGGGGGGAGGCAAACTTTGTGTTTTCTGGAAATTGCTCGATTTTGAAACTTTTTAAAACACCATCGAGTACAGCGTCGAAGATGATACTAATACAGTGTGTGCCATAATGATAGAGGAATGAAGTTTTTGGCCGTTTTCTCCGCGATCTTGCATGTACCCGTACAAACCGGATAGTAGGTTTTGTGGTCCGGAAAAATGCGCATCTTTTGGTCTACTTGAAATGCTTTTACGATGCAGG